AACATAAATAGTTCTTGTGAATAGGGAAAATAAAGGGGACTCGATAAGCACTAGTTTAGTTAGTGAGTTAATTCTCCCCAGAGGCCTGTTTTCCTAGAAGGAAGTGTGTTAGAAGTTGCATCAGTCAGTTCCAGTTGACCTCTGAGCATATCTTCCTTCCCCTACGGACATTTGCAGTAGGTTGGAAAGGTTCACATACCACAACGTTTTGCCCATTGCCAAGTGTGCCTGAGGTGGAAAGAGCAACTCTGGCTGTCCCCTTTGCTGTCAGGTTTGGCTCCCTGCCCCTGGCCACATACCCAACATGCTTATTCAGATACCTTACTTACACCTCCCTGTGGGGCTGAGGAGCTCTGCTCTGTAACCCACCAAAGATGACCTTGGAAAAGGAGAGCCATGCACTGGATTTTCTCCTGACTGAGTTTAGGGTATGTCACAGTGTTAATCTTTCCATTTGACTTCAGAAATTACTTCTTCAGTTTTCATAAGCCTGTATTACAGTTGAATGTCCCCGAGTTGATTTGTCCCAAGGAGGATGCCTTGTGTGTGTCTGTGAGTGTGTGTGTGTGTGTGAGTAGGTGTGTGTGTGTGTGTGTGTGTGAGTGTGTGTGTGAGTGTGTGAGTGTGTGTGAGTGTGTGTGAGTGTGTTGTGAGTGTGTGTGAGTGTGTGAGTGTGTGTGTGTGCGCACTATTTGTTCACAGTGACTGTCTTCCTCCAGCCTGCAGCCATATTTGTGGTAGCATGGTTTGTAGTCAATGGCCTTCTTTCTATGATAGGTGGCACATTCTTTGAGTTAATTTCCATGAGTGCTGATTGATTTTCACTGAGCCATTTTACCTTAATTCCTTTCTTTTGTGATTTATGGCAAGCAGTTATAAGAGTTACGTTTCTTAAAAGAAATATGTTAACAGTTAGGTGTCTCTCCAGGTGTCTCAAGATGTCCTTATTGACATTATGTCATTTGAAATCACAACTGATCAGTGTCAGGTAGATGAAGGCATTATTATGTCTCTTCTCCAGACAGGGGTCAGTGGATTCAAGTGACCCGTCCAGCCCCACTGGCTCACAGGTGGCTCAGCCACGATGACAATCGGGATTTCTTCCTTCTCTAGTTTCCTTCCTTGTTCTGTGTACAGAGCCGAGTGGCTTCTCTAGTTTAACAGTCACACCTTTTCTGTGAGTTTGTGACTTTACACCAGGATTTGCCTTCAATCCTAAGGCTCTTTACATCCTTCCAACTAACCAATTCTGGTTAGCATGTGACTTAGGTCTCAGGAGTGGATCCAAGATGGAAGAGCCATCAATCCTGTCGTCTCTGTCATGAAGTTGTGATGGTGCTTTTGAATTTGAAATCTTAAAAGTTTCACATTTTATCTGCTTCTTAGTTTTTCAAGAATGGAAAGATTCTTCTCAGGACTGGCACACATAAAGCCGCTGTGAGCTGTGGGCCCGGGTCCAGGACTGTCCAGAAATCCTCCCTCCCTGGCGTCCTGATGAACGCTCTGCTGATTGGAGGGCAGGGGTCTGCTTCGTGTTGTGTTGTGCTGTTCGTGTATGTCTTTCCCTTCTCTCTCTTAGTCCTCCCTCCCCCCCCATTCCTCTCTTGTGTGAAAATGCTTTTTCTAGCTAATTCAGTGAACTTTCAAAGCCCTCTTAGGCTAAGCTGCAGGAAGGGCTCTGTCACAAAGGGTAAAATGGGTAGATTAGCAGAGCTAGGTAAGACCATCAGGCTGAGGAGGACACAATTAGCACCTAAAGGCCCGTCCAACCTGAACTAAGTAAGGCTCCTCTCCAGAGCTCCCCCAGATCTCCGGAGGCTGCAGCTTTCCACGGCAGTATGTTCTGTATAATGTGCCCAGTAGAAATGGGTAAGGACACAGAGATGGAAACAAGGATACACATTTTGTAATTGTTGTAATTGTGAGGACCTAAATTAACTTAAATGCTTGCACACCAGTAGGAGAATACTTACCATATTTCCCCATGTATAAGACGCTCCCATGTATAAGACACACCTTAATTTTGGGGCCCAAAATTTGAAAAAAAAATGTATGACATAAAGTTATTGAACTCAAGTTTTATTCATCATAAAATTCATACAACTCCTCATCACTGTCAAAACTCCCAACCATTAGCTTGTCCTCATCTGTGTCTGATGACGAATCACTGTCTTCATATATTGCCTCATCCTCAGTGGGAAATGCAAGTAAAAAATCTACAACCACTATAAGACGCACCCAGTTTTTAGACCCCAGATTTTTCAAAAAAGGGTGTGTCTTATACATGGGGAAATACGTACGTTAATTATGGTGTGTCTGTGCAGGAGAATGCTATGTAGCCCTGAGAAACAGTAAGATCCAGAAGTAATGAATGGAGAGGTGTCGGTGACATACGATTCAGTGGGGGGGAAAATCCATGTTGGTTCATGTATGCATATTCTATCTATTTAAATATATATACATATTCATAGGAAAGTCTAGAAAAATATACCGCAAACTGTTAACAGACGGTCATGGGAATGGGATCAGAATGAAAGGGGAGCAGATATTTTGTTCTTTTACTTTATACCCATTTAGAATACTGACATTTTTGCAATAAATAATCAGTTTTATAATTTTAGAATTAACAATTATGGGGTGGGGGGTTAAGGAGTAAATGATATATTATTCTTTTTCAGTATCTGTCTTTTACCTGTAATTTTGGATTTCTGCCTGGGTTTTCTTCTACATAACGAAGCTCTGAGGGTCCTTAGGGTCATAGGGGTACTGGTCTCATTGTGAGGTTGAAGCTCTTTTTCATTTTGATTGTGGGATGTTCATTATTATCCCTCCATATGTGTTTTCCCGTCGGTGTCATTGGAAGAGCATTCCCTCACTGAAATATTAAGAAATATTAACTGAGTAGTCATACTAATTAAATTAATCCACTCATCTTTTGAGACTTGCAAAACTGTTCTGTAAGAGTCCACCTGATGTATAGAAACGTCAGGTTTTCTGTGTTCTAGGCTGTCACCCCACCTCTGCGCCTCTCACAATTCTGGGCTCAATGCTTGTCAGGAGAGAAGGAAAATTATTCATAGATAAAGTCATATTCCTTATAAAAATGAAATATTAGAGTACCTCTTCATCATTTTCTTCTTTAATTCATGATATTTGGTTTTCGTGAAGAAAGAAGAACTAATGATCAATGCTAAGTGTGGACTCTCAAAAAACAGAAGTCCATCAACTTGGGGGTTAGGGTTTAAACATATGAATTTGGGGGACACAAACATGAATACATAACAGATGATATAACAAGTAAACCAGATATTGACGGTTCACTGACTAGAAATCCATTAATTTCATCTTCCTCATGTTTTCAATTAATCTCAGAGCCCAGATTAATTTCTTCTGGCTTTCTGGAAGAGAATGAAACTTTTGTTTATCTTTTTATTGAATCCAGACTGAAGAGTCAGAGAATATTGAATTGTTTCTATGGTTTTTATTTATTTTTTATTTTTTGTAGTTTTTGATGTTTTTAAATTCCAACTTTTATGTGATAGTTTTAGGTCATTCATTTGCGATACAGATACGTGAATATTATAGTTCCAAGTGCTTTCGTGTTCCCATAGTGAAACCATGAGATCCACATCAGTAAAAACAGCTAATACATTTTTCTCCTCTTTGTACTTGAATTCCAAAAGTTAAGCATTCAATTGACTTTAGCTGTGTTTATGCCCTGATTACAGTCCAGCTCCCTGGTATGAAGTTGGGACATGTGAAATTTAGACACACCTGCAGTTTCACATATATGGATAGTAATACTTTTAGGCGTGTTACAGTTTGTTAACTACAATAAACAATGTCTTTGAAGTATAATTAGATAATTTTAAAATTTGCTGAAAAAAATTTGTTCAGCTGAAAAAGTTTGGTCAGTTAGGTCTTTAGCAAAAACGAGTGTCACATCTCTGTCAAAACATGCATTGATTAATTTATAGCCCCTGCCATGTTCTCCAGCCATGATCAGTGAACACGCCTTGGCTCTGGGGGTGGCTGGGTGTTAATGGGGTGAAGTGCTGTGTTGTCCGTGGGACACAGCCCAGCATGTGCTCGCTCAGGCTCGGCTGTCAAGCCTTCTCTGAACATGAAGCATATAATAATAGCACTCAACACTTTTTATGCTTTTTTGTCAGCCTGCTGTTGGTCTCTTTCATTGAGTGAGGGGCTGCCCCTAACCTAGACAGCTCGTGTCCTTAGTGACATGTGCACACACGGTGACCCCTGTCTCTTCTTGTGCTCTGGACCTTGTTTCAGGTGGTCCCTGCTGAGCCGTCAGAGAAAACCACCCTGACAGTGGTTAGCTTATCAAGTTTTTCTTTTTCACCTTTCCAAACGTAACTCCTCTGCTCATACTATTTCTCCCACTCGAAACAAAGTCTCATCTTGTAACTTGAGAAGCAAAAGGATACTTTTTGTGAGGATATTTTTGGTTCTTACGCGGCAATTATGCTGGTGATCTTTGTAAAATGAAATGTATGCATTTCTCTTTTCCAAACTTAGGCACTTCCTTTCATCATTTGGATTTCTAGCCTACTGTCAGTCTGTTAATTGCTAAAATGTTAGGAGAATAGATTTTTGTGCTCTCCGATTTGAGTGAATCCAGAATTGGAAACACACGGTCTCGTTGTACAGATCGCTTTGAAGTTACTGTAAGACTCACTAAATCTTCTTCTGCATGTCTTTTTCTGCCCTGTATGGATTTTCCAAATCTTATCGTCCTTTTTTAAAAAAATTTATCTTTCCCCTGCTCCCCAACCACCACTTCAAATAATAAAATGTAGTCAGGTTATTTTCAAGTGCCTTAATTTCATTGACATTGCCAGCAACTTATAGATGAATTATCTGTTAACCACCTGCCCAAGTTTTCCTGGGGTGTACCCGGGCTAGGCTCCGGGGTCCACAGCTTGTTTGGGGTCCCCGCAGCCAGCTGTGTGCAGTGACGCTCCGTTTCTCTTTTTCAGCGCAATCGCCTCCATCCTGAGGGCCTGGCTTGACCAATGCGCAGAAGACTTCCGAGAGCCCCCTCACTTCCCTTGCTTACAGAAACTGCTGGATTATCTCAAACAGATGATGCCAGGCTCTGACCCGGAGAGAAGAGCACAAAATCTGCTGGAGCAGTTTCACAAGCAAGAAGTCGAAACTGACAGTGAGTGCTTGCTTGATCCCAGGGGAAAAGCTCGATTCTGGTTCTGCAGCCTCCATGTTAAGGACATGGCTTCCCTGCACTTGTTGAAGAGGAGACCTTGGTGTCTCTCAGAAGGACAAGCTGCTGGGGGATTAAAATAAAATTCTCAAGGTTATTCAAGTGCTTCATTACAGAGCCCTGGAGTTTTAGAGCAAAGGGGATTTTTAAGACCCCCTAGTCTGGCTCCATCATTTGATAGATGCGGAATCTGTGGCTCAGAGAAGTGAAGTAATTCTCTAGGGCGTTTATCATACCATAGAGGGGGTGATCTCCTTGGCGATCTTTTATCTCCCCTGGTGAACACGTACCATGCCGAACCTGAGTTTGCTCTTTAGTATCTGTTGAATGGCTCTTCCTTCTGTCAACTGGAAATCCATCACAAACCACGATCCCCAGGCAGCAGGCAAGGGATTACACCCAGTTCTGCTCCTGCCCTCACAGAAACTGGGAAGAGGTGTTCTGGAGCTAGAAAGCGTCGCTGTGATCTGTCCTCTGCCCAAGTGCAGATGACCAGTCACTTGGTGTCTCCCGTGGCCTCATCACAGGAAGTTTCTGTGGCTGTTTTTTCCTCTGTGAGGAATTGACCGCCTAGATGCAAGGACAAAGGAAGAGTCACCACTGGCGGGCATGAGGTGCTTGGAACTGTGAGGCTTTGCAGAAAGCCAGAACGAGGCTAGGACAGGCCTTCGGAGTGACGTTTTATCCCCTCCCGGCGTGCGGGGTGATGGTTGCCATGACAGCTGACCCACTTGGAGCTTCTGACAGGCATTTCCCTGAAGTGACGCCTGATTTCCTTGGGGGGTGGGGTGGGGGGAGGAAATGGCTCCTCCGCACCGATAAGGGAAGCTGCATCAGTGCCAAAGAAAATAACCTTAAATTCCAAACAGTACCTGTTGAGTTTTTTCTATATGGGGGACCAGAGAGTGGCAAACGCAGTTGCATCATTAGATGCTGACTGCCAAGTAGCTCTATCTTGGGTGACTTCATCTGCCCGGAATGTTTGAATACCAGGGGCGCTCCTCCAGCTGCCGGACCTCAACTCCCCTCAGGGCCTCCCTGCCTGTCTTTGTGCTGCGGTGGAAAAGGCTGTGTGAGAGCCCAGCTCTCCCCACTGGGGCCGCGCCTGGCTCCGGGCCTAATTGGGGAACCGGTGGGACCAGTGGTTCATTGTTTCCGACCCAGGGGCTGGGAGGCAGAGCTCATTTGGCAGGCCGAAGCTGGAGAGAGGGAGGTGCTGCACTTGGGAAAGGCTCTCAGGCAGTGCCCAAGAAGGCATTTTCTTCTAAGTTTGGAAATTTTTAATCAGGAAAGCCCAAAGCTGTGATTATTAAGTACAGTTGTCATTGCTGAAAAGGAATTTGAGGAGCTTGGTTCCCATGCACCTATTTTACCCAGTTTCATGCCGGCAAAAGCAACAGGCTCTCCTCCATGTTTTGCACAAGTAAAACCTCGCTTCAAGTTTTTACTCCTGCACTTCTGGGAGAGAGTCGAGAGCAGAAACAGCGAAGGCATGGACTAGGCCCCAGAGTGAAGGGAGCCTGTGATCTTCATTCATAGCAGCATCCAAGGCACATACCGGGCGCTGTGAGTGTTGAATGCCTGCGAGGATCAAGACTTACCACATACGCCCCTGGGCGGAAGTGGGTCAGCCTCCGCATTGCAGTCATGGGGGTGGATTTCTCTAGCAGCTTGCAAGAGGGCTGAGAGGCCCATTCTGAACCTTAGCGTGGGCTTTTCAAATGTCTTGCTCCTGCCCTGAGAGAGGACCAGAGCTATGTGTAGAAAAAGGGATGAGATCCTGGGGTTTTAGCTTCCTTTAGCTCGTACCTGTTGGTGTCCCAGACTCTGGAAAGATGGTGACCAACCCCTTCTACCTTGTCCAGCCATAACCCAGCCCCATTGGCATCAGCACCTTCCACTCTGGGGATGAGGGGCCAGCCCTAAACCACACACCTGTCATCAGAGCTGGCAAGGACTCACATGACACCCCATTAGGGGAAGTGATGTAGGGCCCACTCTCAGTACCCCCTTTACTCTAGAAAACAGGGAAAAGGCCACCCCCAACTTGATCAAGGTGCCTAAAAGGCTTTCATTCTACAAAGAAAGAGGGAAAAGCCTTAAAATGTAAACATTCTGGGGAAGTAGTAACACACTGATTTAAATTTCTGCTAAGATATAACTGAATACAGCTAGTTTTTTTTGGGGGGGGTTTTTGAGAACAGATTTAACAGAGAGGAGATCAAGGAGTGTGAAGGGGGTTGAGACTGGAAACAGCCCAGGAATTGGAGAAAGGTGCCAGGGAAGGGAGGCTGGGGGCTCGAGTTAAACTTCATCCAATTCCAGTCTTTCCAGATGGAGACTTTCCAGATGGAGACGGGAGGTCTTACTCCGTGTGCTGAGCCCTTCAGCTTTTGGTCTGGAGTCCTAGGCAGTGATGCTTACTCACTTCCGGGGTCTGGGCCACACGTAATTTGCTAATTGATGATCTTATCTATAATAAGGCTCAGGCGAGTTTTGTTTAAGACTATTCTGCTTCATGCTTATTTAACTTGAGGGGGAAGGTGAAAGCTACCTCAAAAGTACTTTGAGAATTCTGAGGACTCCATCAGCGTTTCTGACACCCAAACAACCCATTTACCCCCCAAAGCCTGACCTGCCTTTATGCCCAGTCCTTCTAGGCTTCTGTTGTAAATGCCGGCGCCCACCCCCAACCCCGTAATTACAAATTACAAATTATGTACTTGGGGTTCAGGAAGTAGTGGGTTAGTCCTTGAGCTGACTAGAGGGTATGAAGGAGCCCAAGATGAAGGTAACCCCCTGAATGATGCCCAGCTCTGCTTTTCTAGACTTTCCCTAACCTGGCTCTGCCCTTGGTCTAGGAACCCATGGTTGGTCAAAGACAAGAGGCCTCTGAACTTAATAGACTCTAAGAAAAAGCTGAAAATGTGAAGACCTCCATTGCACTCAGAGTTATTGAGCTTCCTGTTCGCTCTTTGGGTTTTCTGAAGGATTAGCCCTCTCCTTCCTAAAGCAAAGTTCCGTTTGACTCTATAAACAAGGTCATATACAGTGACACTGAAGAACTCATTTTCTTCCATCTGTTCCCAGATGGGTTTCCCAGCACCAGCTCCGTCAGCCTGGAAGAGGAAGAGGAACTGGAAGGTGGAGTGTCCGCAGAGTTCACGTGCTTCTCAGAAGACCTCGTGGCAGAGCAGCTGACCTATATGGATGCAGTACGTCTTCTCTTTAAACCCTGGGTAGTGACAGTGCTGGTGGCCCAGGGAGGGCAGTGGGGGAACGTGATTTACGTCTTTTCAAATCCTTGAGAGAAGCTCTGCCTGTAAATACAGAGGGAAGATGTGACTGGAATCAGTCATCTGAATAATTCAGGCCTAAGTTCTTCTTGCAATTCTGGGTGAAGGTGCTTTTCACTCGGCACTCAATACACCCAGGGATATAAGAAGTTTTATCCTGGTGACACAGAACCTACCCCCATTCCCTGCTATTTCTCTCCCTTTAAAAGCAGTAATATTCCAAGATCTGGACTCTTTATTTGGAGGACTGTAAAAGAGCCAAAGTATAAGTCAGGATAAAATAAACTCGCCAAATCCACACGTGACTATCTGGCAGCTCAGTCCCACATGTGCTGCTTGTACCTTTGAAGTTGGACGATTTTTTCTTTTAGCTGATTACGTCAGCCACATTTCATAGCTCAAGCTTAGCTGGTAAATACCAGTTAAAGAAAAACGGTCTATTGTGAATTATCACAATGGTTTTGGCTCTTCTGCCCTCACCCCTTTGAACACAGCAGCATGAGACGTGGCAGAGAGTTTCCATGCCGTGAGCATGCAAATAAACTCTCCAAGTACACCTGACAGTCTGTGTACAGTACATCCTGCTGTTCTCTCTTGTACACAAATCCTTACCTGTCTTGTATTGAATTGTTGTACAAATGAGCGTCTGATTTGTTCAGCGGGTTTGTCACTGTAGTTGCTCCACAACTGACAGCCTAAGAGAGAGATGGAAAATGTCACTGATGATGACTTTTAGGCAAAGACCTGGAAACCAGCCTTCACAGCCCTCTCTCTTCCTTTTACGGTGGGACGTTGAATAGCTTTTCCTTTTCTATGCTTCTTACTCTCTTCATTTTAAATAACATGAAATACTGACATCAATGAGCGTCACATGTGTTGTACTTCAGTGGGTCACTTTTCAGGTGGTCATAGAACATTCATGTGTGTTACAGATAATCCATGATCATCAGTGCCCAGAACATGCCACGGATGTGATTTGGATGTCAACATTATCTTAACTACCTTTTCCTTTTGTTTTCTTTTTTTCTTTTTTTTGATTAGTAGTATAGATTTTTTTTTTTGCCTGGCTTTCCTTTGACAGAAAACTCAAAATGTTTTGGGGTATTTAAATTTCCTTTTGGTCATTGTGTTTCACATGCTCTGTTGAGCAGATTTAGGAAGAACATGTGGGCTTTTCTGATCAATTAATATATTATTTATTTTTGCCTGTTGAAATGAACACCACAAGGCACATCAAGTAGAAATGGATTATTTCCCTATTCACAAAAATACCAATTTACAGGTAACCCAGACGACGTGCTTTGCCCTGTGAAATGTCTGTGTTGTCTTTACTGTCAATTTCTCTTTTGTTCTAGCAACTGTTCAAGAAAGTGGTGCCCCACCACTGCCTGGGCTGCATTTGGTCTCAGAGGGATAAGAAGGAAAACAAACATTTGGCTCCTACTATCCGCGCTACCATCTCTCAATTTAATACCCTCACCAAATGCGTTGTCAGCACCATTCTGGGAGGCAAAGAACTCAAAACTCAGCAGAGAGCCAGAATCATCGAGAAGTGGATTAACATCGCTCACGTAATTGTCTTTTTATAAATATTCTTTGTGTCTAGTAGATACTAGAGACTGCTCCAACACCCTCTTGAAATGGTTTGTCCATCTGATTGAAAGGCAATCAAAAGACCGCATGTCAGGGCCCATTGGGTTTTGTTGTTATTATTGGGTTGTCGGAAAAGTCATGATGCATTTTTGCAACGAAAAACAGAGAAAAAAATATGTCATTGTTTTTCTGACAACCCAATAGTTTTCTTCTGACGTAAGAAAGAAAGTTGCCTTTCCTAACTTGGGAGCTTATTTCTTTTTCCTCTTTTAAAAACAATTGGTCCGTTGCTCACTTATTTCTGCTTGTTGAGCCTCACGCTGCTGCTTCTCCAGGGTGAGACATTCTGTCTGCTTTTTCCTTTGTAATCACAGACTGGGCGCTGGTCCTGCCCTGTGTTCAGTGAGTATAAACTGATAGTCTAAGTGTCAGACTCCTCTTCAACCCAGAGTGAGGGCCCATCTCCCTACCTCCTGCAGATTTGAAGATCTGATACCTTCTCAGAATCCAGAATCTTTGTTTCTAAAGGACTCAGATACACAGATTTCACATTAACCCGGGCTTTTCTGAGAGCCTTACATCTGAAGGTGGAGAGGCAAAGCCTGTTCCTAGGCCTGAATTATACTTTGCTGAGTGTCAGTCTGGTCTCTTGGATCAGCTACATACATGTGATACGACCTTCATTTATCAGCATCTTAATCCTCATCGAGAAAAGGTGAATGGTATTTAGTCAGTTCGTGACCAAATATTTCATGACCTTCTAAATGTGTATGAGCTACAATTTTATGGTTTTGGGGACACAGATAGGATAAACACAATGAATTTGGTCCTGCAGGAGCCTGTAGTCAAACAAGGAAACTAAGATACGCTAGAATTATCTCAGCCCAGGCAGAAGAACAGAACCCTGTGAGAGAAGCCTGCAGGGGTGAAGGGAGGAGAAATCCCTTCCTACTGGGCTGATCGAGAGAGGCTTCGTGGAGACGATGACATTTGAATTTAGCTTTGAATAATAGGATTTTTGGTATTTAAAGACTGGGGACAATTTTTTTTTCTAGGCAGAAGAAATTACATTGCAAAAGCTATATAATTAACAAAGTTGAAAAATAATTATGTAATTATTAGTTACATAAATAGTCCTGTTAGTCCATGTTCTGGGCTATATGAGTCACCCCTCAACCTAAACATATTTTGCGCTCTCTCTCTCTCTCTCTCTCTCTCTCTCTCTCTCTCTCTCTATATATATATATATATATATATACACACATATACATATATATACACATATACATATATACACATACATATACATATATATACACATATACATATATATACACATATACATATATATACACATATACATATACATATACATAGATATACACACACACATACATATATATATATATTTGGCTCCTACCATCCCTTATTGATAGGGCATAATGCTTAATTTTTCACACTCTCTCTTATTATTGTCTTTGATAAAGAGCAAGGCCAAAACAGTGCCAGAGAATCTGCATTATTTTGAGTTTTTAGGTGGTCTGTTACCACAGACTTTTTAGCATATGAAAAAAGTAAGAAGCAAAGAATATCTTATGCGACTTAGATTATTCCTGTTCTGCATTGAGCTTATTTATTGATAGGTAAGAGCTACAAAAGAAAAGTTCTAGTAGAGTGCGACAGAGCGTGGGGTTTCTTTGTCTTCTTAGAAGGAGAAAATATATATATTTTAATCATAAATGTCATATCATTTGCAGCCTTTTACATGTCTCAAAAGAAACTAGCCTATCTACCTTTCATCCATGTAACTGCTTAGAAAATCTATAGCAAGAATATGGCATCTATATGTGTAACAGTGTGGCTCAAACAATGTCTTTTGGTCCAAATTAAATGTAAATTATGCATTGATGTGATAAGAAGAAATACAAGTGAAATAATTTGAAGTATATTCCAGATCCCATGGCGTCTGCTTAAAACCCAAGAGTCCTCACTCTTGGCCATGTAGTTTCCTCCTAGTGAGCATTTGTGTCCCTTAAAATTGTGTAGGCTAGCTTAATAAAATAATAAAACTCACAGGTGGTTTCTTGCCAAGATGTATTCTACTTTTCCTGCATTATAATCAGAATTTCTATTGAGAGGATGTTTGAAAAAAAATGACAATTTTACACACAGAAAGCATTTCTGACCTAACATGACTATCTTTTCTTGGACTGCCTAACTGCTGCATTTTTACTTTTGCATCATGTCTCCTGGAATGATACCTCCTTTTCTAGAAATGGGGCCAGATGCCTTTTCTACTCCGTTAAACCCTTGGCTTAAGCCCCTTTCTGAATAATGTGTTCCATATGTTTATTATAATTTGCATGAAATATCTGTGCCTGAGTTCTTTTATTTATTGCAAGTTTCCTGATTTTTAGAACATAACTTTTGGATTCTGAACCTTTGTTGAACCGTGCTCTCATGGGCTATGGTTTCCAGACTGACTGTAATTTAGTTCTCTCTCCCCGCTCGTCTCTCTCTCTCTCTCTCTCTCTCTCTCTTCCTTCCTTCCTTCCTTCCATTCTTTCTTTCACATTTCCTCTCAACTCTTTTTGTCAGCTGGATTAGACAATGTTAAAAAAGACCTCTCTTCTNCTCTCTCTCTCTCTCTCTCTCTCTCCTCCTTCTCTCTCTCTCTCTCTCCTCCTTCTCTCTCTTTCTCTCCCTCCCTCTCTGTCTCTCTCCCCCTCCACGTTCCCCTTTTAAATAAAGGGAAGGCATCGTGGCATTTAAAAAGAGTAGGTATGACTTTTGCAAAGTACTTCGGCATTTACTCTCGAGAAAATGTTTAGGGTTTTGTTTATTTGGCATAGTTTTAAGCAGCCAGATTTCGGCATGCTGTTAGAGAATGCTGTTTTCCTTTATATTCAGGATTAGCATCACTTCATGAAATCAGCTTTTAAGCAATGTGCCTGAGCAATATGCTCAACCACTCAGGGACCTCTGGCCCCAGATGTTGTGCACGAAGCTAAACCCATGCTCACATGGCGTGCTCCACTGTAAACGGTGTTTGTATTACCCTCCCATACGCCTGCATGTGAAGCATCTCCATTGACGGAAGTCATGGCCCACTCTCCCCATGTTGCCACTGTCCTCATGCCAGCCAAGCAGGGGACCCTCTCCCTGAACATTTTGCTGTCCCCGCCATTTATTCAGCAGGCCCTGGACTCCACAGTCACTGACTGCGGAGGCCACAGACTCTGCGTGGTGGTTGAAATTCTGGGATCAGGGAACCTTTCTCTTTCCTCAGAAAAACGACATCCAGGATGTTTCCTGTTCTCTTTATATTTTGTTTTAAAATGCTGCCAACATGAATTTGATTTGAATAGTCCAGGTTATTTTGGAAACACTGAAGTACCAAGGTGTTTCTGAATGTTTACGATTGCGGCCCAAGCCAATTTGAAACTAAATGAATGTGTATAAAAATATTCCCTCTTGGCTAAGCGCATGAAAGCCAAAGTTCAACTTGTGGTGAATTTTTATGGCCAAGTTATATACACCTCTCTGGACAGGGGTTGGTCATGAGATGCTCGATACCATCTGACCTCCAAGTGGCTGCTGCCCAATTCACTTTGTGGGCCCAAAGGATACAGTGATCTTTCATGTGTATTTTTAGGGCATCTGTGTGCTCTCAGCAGAAGAAAGTCTGCTTTCTCTAGCTTAGCTCTGAGGACTCGCCTCCATTCGTGTTTTTACTAGGAAAGCTGGAAACTATAAAACTGTAACAACAACGCAGAAAATATATTAAAGGAGAGAAAAACAAGCGTACCGTGCCAAAATCTATAAAGTGTTTCGGTGACTGGGGTGGGAGGAAGGAGCCACTTTTTGATGTTCCGTATTTATACAGCTGCCTATTTAGTGGTAAGAATTCATAGCAGCTGTGATACCTCTCAAACAGGAAACCACCAAACTCACTGTATTATTGCTATTTAAATGCCTTTTATGTTTGAACCACTCTCCCTACAGGAATGTAGAATCCTGAAGAATTTTTCCTCCTTGAGGGCCATCGTGTCGGCGCTGCAGTCCAATTCCATCTATCGCTTAAAGAAGACTTGGGCTGCGGTCCCCAAGTAAGTCCCCAAGTGTCTGCTCGCCTTTCCTTGGCCGGGGTGATCCATGGCTGCAGAAATGGTGTGGGTCCTCCACCTTCAAAGCTCTTGTTATATAACGAGAGAAACATATTTGGAAGCCCCTGTGTGCTCCAGGCAGAGTGCATTTTACACATAATCATTAATGCATTTGAGGCAGGGCTGCCACAGAAATCACATCCATTCTCTAAGAGTGCCAAAGCCAAGGTCGCTAGCTTTAGGAATGGTTTAAAGGATGCGCTTATTATCTGGATTTTGAGGGATAAAGTTGTGGAGTGATGGGGTCACAGCAATTTGCCATTATATCTGGCTTTTTCTCAGCCACGTTCCAAAGCCCTAAGCTATTTCAAGATGTGAGGAATGACGTGTGCCTGTAGTTCTTGCTGTTCAGTAAGAATCCATTTAGTTAGTTTCTGCTTCAGCTTATGAAAAGCTATCTTAGTGTTGCTAAAACCTCTAAGTGTTCCCTCCTAGGTACCTAAATTTATTAACAGGCCAGATTCTATATTATTTTTCTTCATATTCCTTGGTGCCACCTTTGCAACAATTAACAATATAATGTCCGTATGAATTCACCATCGCTTCCTCCCCACCCCCCCCCTCACCCCCCCATGTTCAGAGCTTTACTTGTAGACCAGAAAACTTGGTGCAAAGGAGGGCAGGGTGAGTGGGGAGGCGTCTGGTCCCATATTCGTGCAGATTTAGAGGTTGGGGGATGTGTCATGGCTACACACCAGGCCAGCTACATTCAACAAGCCTGCCTAGGTTTGAACTAATCAGAAGTCAGGCTGTATCAAGGAAGAATGTATAAACTGTTTATAGTCTATACTGTACACAGTATAGTCAGTTGCAGTCAGGAGAGATGCCAGCTGGCTCCCTGGGACGGCTGGCTCTTATGGGATTGGTGGATTCAGTCCTTCGAGTGGAAGGTCTAGTACTGAGATTCATCAAGCTGATTAAGCGCAAAGGGACTGACGCTATGCAAACTTGCAAGAGACTGAAATTGGTAAACCGGAGTGTCATCAACTTATGCTGAAAAGGGAGTGCCAGAGAACTCAAGCTTACCAGTGAGCTCATATTCGCAGTCAGAGGGAAGTCTGCATGGGACAAGTCCGATTATCTGTTGCATAATTCTTTGATAGGTAAGGAGAAATATTGAAGTGGATGATCTAAATGCCTGGCGTTCCAAAGCTATAGAAGCCACAGCCATTCAGATGCAAAAGCTCATGTTCTGTTTATGATGCTGTTATCAGTCAGAAGACTGGTAGATAGGCTTTTCAAAGTCCAGTGCAGTTTTCTTAATTACCACTCTTTTCCTGGGTTCTTTCTCATCTTCACTAGTTTGAATAATCAAGGTGACTCTGTGTGTGAGAGATTAGTTGGCTGATTTTCCTCTGCACGTAAATGTTATAAAAGATACGGGTCACATAAAACCATTAGATGATAGGCCCTGGGGAACGAGCTGGGGACATCAGATGCACGCAGGGAACTCATCCTCAACAGCCCTGACTCCTGCTCCTCCCCCTTGCCACCGTTCCTCAGCTGTGGTCCCAAAAGCAAAGGGATGGTCAGGGGCGAAAAGGCAGCCTGGCCTGATTGCAGCCTTCTCTGATTGCAGGGAAGGGTAGTCCTGTCTCTCTTTGGTGGTTGATAAGTAGAACGCTATGGTCAGCCACTCAGCCGGCCAAAAATTTCTTCCACGGCAAATCTGATGTGAAAACACCAGTAACAAAATTAGTGGGCTTGTATCTTAATCTCCTTGGTTACCATATGAGAAAGTCCATTCTTCCAGCTGCCTGGAATAAACAAACAAAAACCCCACAAAACAAACCTCAAAGCCGCGTTCTATACAATGTGGGCGTCTGGTTTGTTTCTTAGTTGGGTGGCTGGTTCATGTTTTAGCAGGGATGCTGCATACGTGTCACAGTTTCTTAGAAGATGCCTCCATATCAGCTCTACTTATTTCCATGGCTACATTCAAGAGACATGGTTAAGGCATCTTACTTGGTTGTCACTTTCCCTGTAATCCTGTACGCTAATAACTTTCACGGACAGAGAAGATATCGATTACTCTTTTTTAGGTCCACGATTACTTTTTTTTAGAACTTAAATAATTAAGTTCTTAATTATTTTTTCCAAAATATAAATAGCTTTAGTGGATTTCTTATTTGTAAGAGCAATATCACACTCACTTTGAAACAGGTTTTTAATAATGGCTTTCTCATGATACTGCTAATGCTGCATATCTAATGATATTGCCTCGTTAATGCTTTGCCTTCAGAACCATCCACTCAGTAACCGTGGAAGGGTATGCAGAGCAAAGCAAGGGGCCCCGTGGAGAATGTACTAGAAAGGGACAAGGATGGAGTTGGCGCTTTGCACGTGGTCCTGCAGCCGTCCTGCAGGGAACTGTTAGTATTCCCATTGTACAGACGAGAAAAGTGAAGCTCAGGAAAGATGAGCAACTTGTCCAAAATCACTTGGGGCAGAGCTGGGATTTGAACCCACCGCTCTGACCCCGGAGCCCATCCTGATTCTGCCATCTACCCGGACTCTGAGTGTAGGACACTGGCCTGCGATTCAGGCAATTTGGGTCCATACCTGCCACTCTCAGCAGTTATCAGCGGAGACTTGGACACACCCCTGACCCTGGCGTCTTCATCTCTAAATGGAGGGGACATGCCGAGATGATTTCTCAGCTCCCATGGGGCTGTGTGTGTGTCATTAAGACAGATTTTTTTTTTAACTTGCTGAAGAGAACATGTCCCAGTTGAACACCTTAATGCCCCAATTTAACAATCCATCTCTATGGTTTTAACATACACGTTTAGAAAGTATCCCTTTCTTTACACAGGTGACCATATTCACCTTTAAAACAAAGCCACCCCGCATGAGAAAAGCCAGTGGTTTCATCTGTTCACAGGGCCCACTGATCCTGAGATCAGTACAGCCTCCTGTAGCCATAGGTACTGAGGACAGCGGGGCCGAAGGTGTTGCGCTTTTCCTGACTCTTCATTTGTTACTGTTTTCTTAATCCCTCTTCTAGGGACCGAATGCTGATGTTTGAAGAACTCTCAGATATCTTCTCGGACCATAATAACCATCTGACCAGCCGGGAACTCCTGATGAAGGTGAGGCTCGTGATGAGACTGGGTGGCCCTGTGGACAGCTCTGGAATCTATTCGAGGGAAGAGTGGCTTGATGGCTCCCTAAATGTCTACTGTCCCATGAGAAAGCCTAGAGCGACCAGAAGGCAGACTTTTTGGTTTTTGCTTTTCATGCTGAATCGGAGTAGGGCTGAGAAAACTCAAAAGTCCAGTTCCGTGGCTTCACTGTTATGCAATCAGATTGTGAAACCTGTGCTCATGTGTATCCCTCTTTACCAAGCTGCTCTGCAAATACCAAGTGCTGGCAGTTAGGTGGGGAAGAGGGCCTAGAATATGCCTTCTCAGCAAATCATCTCCTAGAATGACGGAGGCCAAGCCAGCAATTCCACAGCCTTTATTTGGACTCAATTGCACAACCTGTCAGTCAGCAATATTTGTTGAACACCCAACGAGTGCTGACTTCTGAACTGCAGGCTCAGAAGAGGTATAGCGTGGCTCATTTTATTGCTCGTGACATTTGTTGCATAGCTAATATTTGTGGAGCATTGGACCAACCTCTAGGAATATACAGGTAACTAACATCGACCCTGTTTTCAAGAGCGCACCTTCTATTTGATGAATATAGACACTAAACAAGAATAAGTCAGTAGCCACATAAAGGTACAAATCACAGGGTGTGGACAGTCATCAGAGGGGAACATAGAGCAGATACTGTCTTCACAGTCTTTCTATAAAGTACCTGTATCATCCTGGCTTTGCAGAGAGCCAAGACTCAGAGCGGTAAACAAGACCTCAGTCACATACCTGGTAGGTGGTAGAGCTAGGACGTGAATCCGACCTGGTGAGACTCTAAAGCCTGTGCTTTTGTCACTTAGGTATAAAAGTGTTTCTTCTGACCACTTGAGAGTAGGGCGCGGCATAGGTCAGGTCAGCCTTCATAGGGAAGGTAAATCAGTAATTCCAGAAATACTGATCGAGCAGTCGCTACGTGATCAGTGTGGGGAGTACAACCATATTGAAGGCAGCCCCTGACCTTAAGGAGATTACAGCCTCCTTAGTGGGGGAGGGAGAGAAGTGGACAATTCTAAAAGAATCTGAGATGTGCCACCATAGGGGGAGGCCCTGAACTTGGCAATGAGAAGAGATGATCCTTGTCCTCAGTCTCCTTTTCTGTAAATCAGAGACAATAATCACACTTAGCCTACTGACCTCCTATAAGTGTTTTGCAGACTGACTAAGAAAAAATATTTGAAAACACTATGCAAATGTAAGCTATTTTTAGTATTTGGCAAGCTATGCACATATGAAACCGAAGTATACATAGCAAATGAAAATGCATAAAGTATAAGCTGCATATGGGCGCTTGGGGCAGACACTTGGAGTAGGAATGAAAGACAAGTGGAGATGGGGTTACTGAGAAAAGGCATCCAGCTACTAACTGTTGGACGAGTCCTTCCTATAAGGGCACCTGTTACTTCTTCCGGACTATTCTCCTCCTAAGTCCTGCTTCTCCTTCATGTCTCATTCTGGACTCCTCGTCTTCTGGAACCCTCCCGCCACATCCTCAGGTCTGAGTAGCTTCTTCCCCATGTCTGCCCCAGCACCTGTATGCGCCATCGGAATTGCCTTGTACACCCCCTGTCTCCCTCATGGCCTATAAGCCTCTTTCAGGCAGGGACTGGGTTGATCTTTCTCACTGTTAAATTACTAATGCCTAGCACAGTGCCTGGCATGTAGCAAGTGTTCAGAAGCCATGTTGGACTGCGTGAATTGACGGGCCTTATCATTCACGTGACTTTTTAACCCCTTGCCCACTATTAGCCCTTCTCGGAGCAGGTGACATGCGCAGGGCAGTTGATGCTGACGCCTGATTCTGGTTTGGCCTACCTGCTTAAATGCACGCTAAATACTGCTTGCCGAGTGTTACTGCTCCCTGCTTCTCGTCCCCACGGATTTGGGGACTTTAAATGGAAGCTCTTCTGGCTGGAAGGAGATGGCTTAGTGGTCTCTCTGCCCGTAATACGAAGCTAGACAAACTGGAGCCACGCATTCAAATCCCAGTAGCTCTGAGTCATCCTTGCAAAGCAGATAAGTTGAATACTGTGCCGCTCATGGCCTGGTGGCAGTCTTCTGGCCGAAACCTTAGAAACAAAGCTGTGTCTTGACATTAAAGGTTCCATAAACCTTCCTTAATGGTAGAAGTTTACCCGAGCGCTCTCAGTTAGATTTCTTACATATGGCTCAAATCCCAAAGAAATGAAAAACTTGGCTATGAGTCCATGTGGTCTGTGCACTATCATTATGATAGTGGAATGTTTTGGGCAGTGGCTGCGTCTGTGTGGGTATCTTTCCACTCATCTTTGCTGAGCATTCCTTCATACGAAATATATAATTCTGGATGTTCATTCTCAGCACAGTGGTAAAAAAAAATGAAATCAAGGTATTTAGGTTCTCCAAAGAACCACTGCGAAAAGTTGCTGTCTCTCTTTCTAGACTGATATGGTTGGGTAATCTTAGTCTGAAATGGCCTCTCTTCTCTTCTACGCCTGGGTAGACATAATGTGCCACCTCTATAATATTATGACTAAGGCAACGTAATAATTAGCAAGAATCTATGGTTTGCCTTTCAATTGTTGGAAAAAAAATTTTTTTTCTCAGAGATTATCTTAAACCTGTCACCTCCGTATGATTTCCGGAACTGAGATCATTCTAAGCAGGTAAATTAGAGAATCCACAGATTTCAAAACAATAGGAAAGCAGAATACCACCAACGCTCCTTGGTTCTTGATGAGAATTCTTCCTGGTTGGACTGATACAGACAACTTCCAGAAAGGCCCAGGAATTTGGCTCTTATGGAGATGTATTATTCAGTCAAGCCCCAAAATGCACTAACATCAGAACTGGAGCAGGAGATTTTTAGGACTGTGAAGACCTATTCAAATAATTACCATTAGCTTCAGAGCTATAGTTTAACTGACACCACTGAGAAGGAACCAATGCCCGGGTAGCGCCACAGTAGAAGAGGGCCCTCAGAGGTCCAGGAGCAGGGTGGATGAGGGCAGCTGAACTCTGCTCAAGAGGGAGACAGAAGGTGAGACGCAGGTGAGAACTTTGCACTAGAGAGAGGGAGGGAGGACAGATGGGGAGAGAGGAGAGGAGAGGGGGAGGTAGTGGGAAGTTTATGGAGGGAGAGATTTGGAATTCATCCAAACGTAGGTGATGATTAAGGTCTTGGGACTGGATAGGATTTCCAAAGACACGAGTATAGTGAAAAACAAGATGACTTTGGCAGAAAGAAGACTCACTAAGAAAGTCCGAGCAGCAAAGGAGGCAGGAGGAAAGAACCACAGTGATGCAATCACAAAAACCTGTGAAAAGCTTCAAGAAGTTTCAAGGGATTGGTGGTGTGAGACGCTGCCAACCGAGGAAGAAAAACACTGAAACTTTTGGACGTGGCAAATAGTGGGTTTTCAGTTGACACCGTGTTTGGAAGAACTGCGCTAGTGATCCAGCCAGAGGTGGGTGCTCCTTCTCAGGAACTCACAAAGTCACGAAATCCGCAAGTCTTTGAGCTCCATCTCACGTCTTTATCTCTCCTCCAATGAGGAAGTTATCCTAAATGCTCTCTGAAGATTGCCTCCCATCACTGTGATTCTGTGATTCTCAGGAACCTTTCACTTTTCAGGAATCCTTCTTAAGAATTTTAGGTCTACCTGCAATGATTTTCATACATTAAGAAAGTGAAAGGAACCAGAAAGACCTACCCACGTGTAAGTCAGAATTTATTTCTCACTTCAAGCAGATTATCAAGAATTTGGGAGGAACCACAACCACGTATAGCACAGGAAATGGCACATTAGGCCACTTTCATACATCCCCAGGAAAAGCTATAAGTGGGGGATTATTAAACAATAACTGTCCTGATTATCCTTTGTAACAGGGAGAATTAAGATAGTGAGTCCCTGTGGGTTCTGTCCAGTTGTGTACCTGGAACTGGGTTAAGGCTGGTGAATGACAGAATATAGTTGATACCTCCCTGCCATCAGAAAGGCCAAGTCACCGAAAAAGATCCTCTGGCGGTTGCACAGTAGCGAAAGATCACATGCTATGGTAATATAATAAACCCCTGGAAAACCGACTCAGGGAAATCTAATGTGGATGTTACACATTACTAAATTGTGAAATGTGCCTCCCATTCATACAGTTCCTGGAAAATGAGAACTTAACAAGACTCTGAAACCACAAAACCGAAACACTTTATGTTCAGTCAGCAAACTCAAGATTAGTCATTATGTAGAAGAGTTTTAAAAAGTTTGTTGTTAGACAGGCAGGAGAGAAAGGACAGCCATGTGTCCTCAGGCGCCCAGAGGAAGGATTGATCTGTGAGGGTTCCAAACCTGAGCAGCAACTTGAGAGGATTGATTGGGGAAGAAAAAGGGGGGAAAAAAAACGCATGAAGGTCTGGATTTCATAGATTGGTGCGGTGCCATAGTACTGGACTTCCTCAGAAAACTTCCGGTACAAGTTTTCTTTAACTAAGAAATACCACAGAAATAGTCCCTTTTCTTTCACAGAATGCTGGTATGTGCATTTCGGGCCAGGATCAAGAAATCACAAAATGTACAGAGAAAGAGATCTTCATTTCCAGGACGTGTCTTTCCTTTGAGTTACGTTAGGGATGTGTAAAAATTGCCTCCAGTTCCAGGGATTGCCTGCCCCGCATGGACGATTGATCTTATAACCAAACCAGTGGCTCATCTGAGAGAGTAGTAGGGAAAGAGGATAATCCAAGGCCACCAGGTTTTGCTACAAATAGACCACTTGCATCAAGCCAGCCATGCATGTGCGTCCTTCAGCCCAGAGCTGGCTGCAGGCCTCTTCCCTGTGCATGGCATCCAGGTGGCCGTGCAGAGGGTCTGCACCAGAAACCAGGTACAAGTTCACTTCTTTCTGGTGTCATTCTCCATCACTCTCCTCTGTGTGTGCTTCGTTTCTTAGGAAGGAACCTCAAAATTTGCAAACCTGGACAGCAGTGTGAAAGAAAACCAGAAGCGGACTCAGCGGCGGCTCCAGCTCCAGAAGGATATGGTAGGTACGGCCCTCGGTCTTCCCGAGAGCCCACGGGAGAGCCCATGAGTGGGTGCCTGAGCTCCCGCATGGCACCTGCACCTTCAGTCCACAGGGCATCCATGCTTCCCTACAAGTGCTTCCATCCCTCACCTCGTTCCTTCTCAGCAACCCCGGGAGATCTATAGGAAAGATGTCATTACTCCCATTCCCATTTGACCCAGTAGGAAATAAACACTGAGAGCCACAAATCATGGTGTTCCCTGGAGCATTTGTTTTTCCTGGTGGTAAGGGTAAGTCTGCAACAGGGAGACCCTCGTGCCTCTAGCTGGCTTCCTCCGTCCACTCCTGCACTTAGAAGCTGCTGCCGCCTTGGCCTTGAGACCCCCTTGGCCTTGGAGTTCCCTGGCAGGAATGCCCACTTTAGTCAGCTTTGGACCCAGGGTGGCTGGGGGCCTGGGTGCCGAGGACAGAGAATGTCCTCTCCCAGGAGGACCTGCTCTGTTTACTCGGGGATCCTCTCCTTTGTTCCAGACTCATTTTCCAGCTCTCCTTACTAACCCCAAGGACTGACCAAATCTCTCTAATTTCCTAACACTCACAGGAGTATCATCCCTCCCTCCTTAACTGAAAGGTAGTTATTTATCATCATTAGCTTTATTTAAAGAACTCTCCTAACTTTTAGCAAGAAGGGGGAAACCAGAGACAGGAGATTAGAAACCGACAAACTCTACATGTTCTTATCCGGCCTGGAAAGGATTTTCTTCTTCTCTGGGAAGCTGGACCTAAATGAGGAACGGGTTTGAATTGATAGGACTCTCCTGTAACATAAAGCCTGTAAAAACTTCACAGCATTTCAGACTTTTTTTGTTGTTCAAAGACAAATTAAAAATAGCTGTTAAAAAAAAAAAAGACGATTATTTCAGTTCAGGGTGAGACCTTGTACGCATAATGGGGAAGGAAAAGCCAGCTGACAGTGAGCTCCTGAAGGACAAAACCCCCCATGGTGGGAGCCTCATGAAGCCGTTCTGGCTGAGGAAACAGCCAGTCTCACGTCAGGCAGCCTGGCCTCGCCCTGGCTGAGGCTGTTTCTTGCCAGAATTTCCATAAGAGCCTCAGGGAAACTTGGGAGAAAGTGTCCGTGGAAGCCCTTTTTAATTTCCTTTTCAACGTGGTTAGTACCTTGGTGGCCTTATGGAGAATACAGATGATGTCAATGGAAATTTGGTGAAACTAATAAAGTATATACCTGCAGTTGAAGTATTTCTACCTTGATTTCCAAGGGCCAATATCTTAAAACTAAGCTTTTTTATTTTGGGGTTTACAGATAAGTAAACCTGTAACCCCTCTCCCAGTTGCCCTTTTGTTGACATTGTCTGTGGCACATCTGTCAATCCCGAGATACTGACAGTGGCGCATGACTGTTAGCTAAAATCCAGACCTCATTTGAATTTCACCATTTCCCATCAGTATCCTCTTTCCTTCCAGGATGCAGCCCAGCGTACCACACTCATACAGTTGTCACATCTCCCCAGCCTCCGCTGGTCTGTGACAGTTTCTCAGTCTCTCCTTGTTTCTCATGACCATGACAATCTTAAGGAAGACTCTCCTGAAGTCCTTAGAATGTCCCACAATCAGGGCGTGTCTGTTGTTTTCCTGTGATTAGACTGAGGCTGTGGGTTTGAGGGGAGAAGGTCCCAGGGGTGAAGAGCCATTCACATCACATCATATCAAGGAGTGAATGGCATCCGTGTGACACCTGGTGTCACTGGTGCTGTTAACCTTAACTATGTGATTAAGGTAGGGTTTGCCAGGTTTTCCACAAACAAGTTACTGTTTCACCTCCTGTATTCTTTGGAAGCGAGTCACACAGTCTACCCAAGGGGCCATTGTAATAATAGTGGCCTCTGCTCCTCTTGTGGTATAATCTTCTCCGGTGTGCAGTGGTCTACTCCTTCACCGATGGCGAGGCCATCCCTTTCCAGGGCCATTTCTAGAGTGTCTGCTCACTCTGAAAGAGAAAAACTGTCTTTCCAACCTGGGCCTAAGCAAACTCTAAGCCCCTCTGTTAACACTTTTGAATATACTTCTCTGATCCCCTGGCTTTGAGGCTTGTTTTTCATAACTCTTAAAGTTAGCTACTAGATGATAGAGTTCTTGTCTTATTTGTGTAGGAATTTTAAAATTTTCATTCATGGACGTTAGCACGAGTCGCCCCAAAGTAGGCCTTGAACGCTCCTTAGTTATCATCCAAACCTTGTCACGGCTAACTTGGCCATTCAAAGATGGCTGCTTCCATTTGTGAGTGGGCACATTGCTGCCTGCAGCCTCCAGTGGGCTCAGTTGCTCCAGGGTGGAGGCTGTTGAGACCCTCAGACTTGTCAGTAACAACCACGACAGTTCTGCTGTTCTTGCTCCTCAGGGTGTGATGCAGGGCACTGTGCCCTACCTGGGCACCTTCCTGACTGACCTGACCATGCTCGACACTGCTCTCCAGGACTACATTGAGGTGAGTCCTGTGCAGGTGATGACATTGGACCTGCAGCCTTCTCACTGGATCCCCAAGAGAGAAAGCCACTTTATTAGTATCTTTGGAGGGCCAATCACACCCGTGGCGTTGTGCTAGATGTTCTAGGAATACAAAGGCGAATAACACCAGGAGTGGCTCACAGTCCAGTGGAAGGCACACATCAAAGCAGGTGGTGGTTGACAGAAACATTAAGAGTTCAAACAGAAGAGGGGAGGTTGTGATGAGTTCCATAGAAGGGCGGAGATGGCAAGGTCTTATGAAGGAGAGGGTTTGAGCAAGACCTCGAGGTGGAGTGGGACTTTGGGAGGTGGCAATAATGCCCTACCATTCTATTCTGTCTCATGGGGTAGGGAGAGACTCAGTCAAATGTGTGGACTTTTAAGTGTTCCTTTTTTTTTTTTTTTCTTCATATTATTTTCTGCTCTGAGGCACCCTCCCAGGTGCATGTGCACACACTCTATGGGAAAAAGAGGTGAACCCAATCAAACAAGCTACTTGTTAGTAACAGTATTAAAATATGAAGTGGAAAAGAAGTTGGACATTTGAAGTGAGATTTAAGGATTGCTTATACGTATTTAAACTTATCTCACCTGCAGTTATCACATGCAGTCAGCCTTTATAATTAGAAGGAGTAGCACATGTTTTGCATAGACCTCCCTCCAGGCTGGTCATAAATGTTGTGTGCATGCTCATTGATTTCACATTTCCCAGGCTCTGTGTCTCTTCACATCCTCTGTCTCAGCTTATCTCAGGACACACTCATCAGTGCTGGGGAATTTTGGGGGCGTGACCAATGATTTCGAAGTTAAATTCAGCCTACTAAGAATAGTTGCTGAGGGGATGAAGTATTGAAACTTAACTTTTCATGATGCTATATAGAAGTGACTTCCCTTTTGATAAAGCATTGACAATTTGGTTCCTAGTATGAGCCAAGCGCCATCTGTTTTTGTTGCTTTTGGTCAATGAAAAAAAAAAATGTAATGGAACATTTGCTCAAGCTTTTGCCTTTCCTGGCTCTGCAAATGCATTTCGATTCTGAGTTGTAATTCCTTTGTCATTACCATTTTAGTTGGTTTCAGACATTTTAACAGAAGGCTGTTTGGCTATCCTTTCCTATTATAATTAAAAGAATATTTTTCTTCAAAGTAAACGAACAAACAAAACAGAAACGAACTCATAGATACAGAGAACAAACTGATGTTTGCCAGATGGGAGTGGGTTTCGGGGAAGTGTGAAAAAGGTTAAGGGATTAAGAAGTGCAAATTGACAGTTATAAAAACAGTCACGGGGATGTAAAGTGCAGCATAGGGAATATAGTCAATAATATTGTTGTAACCGTGTATGTTGTCAGATGGGTACTAGACTTATTGGGGTGATCATTTCATAAATTATATAAATATCTAATCACTATATTGTACACCTGAAATTAATATAATACTGTATAACAGTGGTAATTGAAAAAAAGTTTTTAAAAGAATGTTTTTCTTAAACAACGCTTCTCCTCTTCCATAGTAGCCATAATTATAGTGTCATTAATTAATTGTGAGTTTATTTTAATCTTAATTAAAATTCTTTGATCTATTTTAATAAGACCTAGAATAACACAGGGCTTGGCTGTGTTTCAAAGTAGCTTGGTTTGTCACTCTTTTTTTTTTTTTTTCTTTCAGGGTGGGCTGATTAATTTTGAGAAGAGGAGGAGGGTAAGTAGAGATATTGGCCGTGATTTTCTGTTTTACTTTATTTATCTGACAGCATGACAAAATGAAAGAAGTGGGGGCTTGAGTATTTTGTAAAGGCAGGAAAAAATGAGTTAGCATTTATTGAACATTTTTCCTATACCCTTGTGCTTAACATATTCCTATGTATTATCCCCCAAGAGCCCTGTGAGGTAGATTTCTATCACCCTTAATTCAAACGTGAGGAAACGTGAGGACTCAGAGAGATGCGGTAACTTGACCAGAGTCACCCGGTAGCGGAACTGGGATTCATATCTTGTCCAGCTGCTCCAAAGCCCACATTCCCTTCCTTACCCTCCTTGTCTTCCTCTTTACAATCCGCGGTAGTAATAACAGGTTCATCCTATTAAGGAGAGGGGCTTCATTAGAGCAAATGACATAGAAGAGTTAATAAAGATGGTTAACTCTCATGGGTCTGTTTGAGGGAGGAAAGGAAGAGGCCTTCATGGTTACAGGTGGATAATTATTCTTTTCCTTTCCTGTCGGCATAGGAAGGGGTGTTCAACATCAATTTCATTTTTTGTGTGGACAGTAACATAGGTCTGCACTATGGTAAAGAATGATAAAACAGAGCTTTGAAAATTTGCTGTGGCTGTAGTGTTAACATGGTGTATTTAAAAAGATATTTTACAAGATCNAGTATTAAAATATGAAGTGGAAAAGAAGTTGGACATTTGAAGTGAGATTTAAGGATTGCTTATACGTATTTAAACTTATCTCACCTGCAGTTATCACATGCAGTCAGCCTTTATAATTAGAAGGAGTAGCACATGTTTTGCATAGACCTCCCTCCAGGCTGGTCATAAATGTTGTGTGCATGCTCATTGATTTCACATTTCCCAGGCTCTGTGTCTCTTCACATCCTCTGTCTCAGCTTATCTCAGGACACACTCATCAGTGCTGGGGAATTTTGGGGGCGTGACCAATGATTTCGAAGTTAAATTCAGCCTACTAAGAATAGTTGCTGAGGGGATGAAGTATTGAAACTTAACTTTTCATGATGCTATATAGAAGTGACTTCCCTTTTGATAAAGCATTGACAATTTGGTTCCTAGTATGAGCCAAGCGCCATCTGTTTTTGTTGCTTTTGGTCAATGAAAAAAAAAAATGTAATGGAACATTTGCTCAAGCTTTTGCCTTTCCTGGCTCTGCAAATGCATTTCGATTCTGAGTTGTAATTCCTTTGTCATTACCATTTTAGTTGGTTTCAGACATTTTAACAGAAGGCTGTTTGGCTATCCTTTCCTATTATAATTAAAAGAATATTTTTCTTCAAAGTAAACGAACAAACAAAACAGAAACGAACTCATAGATACAGAGAACAAACTGATGTTTGCCAGATGGGAGTGGGTTTCGGGGAAGTGTGAAAAAGGTTAAGGGATTAAGAAGTGCAAATTGACAGTTATAAAAACAGTCACGGGGATGTAAAGTGCAGCATAGGGAATATAGTCAATAATATTGTTGTAACCGTGTATGTTGTCAGATGGGTACTAGACTTATTGGGGTGATCATTTCATAAATTATATAAATATCTAATCACTATATTGTACACCTGAAATTAATATAATACTGTATAACAGTGGTAATTGAAAAAAAGTTTTTAAAAGAATGTTTTTCTTAAACAACGCTTCTCCTCTTCCATAGTAGCCATAATTATAGTGTCATTAATTAATTGTGAGTTTATTTTAATCTTAATTAAAATTCTTTGATCTATTTTAATAAGACCTAGAATAACACAGGGCTTGGCTGTGTTTCAAAGTAGCTTGGTTTGTCACTCTTTTTTTTTTTTTTTCTTTCAGGGTGGGCTGATTAATTTTGAGAAGAGGAGGAGGGTAAGTAGAGATATTGGCCGTGATTTTCTGTTTTACTTTATTTATCTGACAGCATGACAAAATGAAAGAAGTGGGGGCTTGAGTATTTTGTAAAGGCAGGAAAAAATGAGTTAGCATTTATTGAACATTTTTCCTATACCCTTGTGCTTAACATATTCCTATGTATTATCCCCCAAGAGCCCTGTGAGGTAGATTTCTATCACCCTTAATTCAAACGTGAGGAAACGTGAGGACTCAGAGAGATGCGGTAACTTGACCAGAGTCACCCGGTAGCAGAACTGGGATTCATATCTTGTCCAGCTGCTCCAAAGCCCACATTCCCTTCCTTACCCTCCTTGTCTTCCTCTTTACAATCCGCGGTAGTAATAACAGGTTCATCCTATTAAGGAGAGGGGCTTCATTAGAGCAAATGACATAGAAGAGTTAATAAAGATGGTTAACTCTCATGGGTCTGTTTGAGGGAGGAAAGGAAGAGGCCTTCATGGTTACAGGTGGATAATTATTCTTTTCCTTTCCTGTCGGCATAGGAAGGGGTGTTCAACATCAATTTAATTTTTTGTGTGGACAGTAACATAGGTCTGCACTATGGTAAAGAATGATAAAACAGAGCTTTGAAAATTTGCTGTGGCTGTAGTGTTAACATGGTGTATTTAAAAAGATATTTTACAAGATCCAAATGAAAATGAACAAGAAAAATAATAACTTCACCCTAGGGTATTGTCCTTGTTCTTCAGTTATTCTTTCATTTCACAAATACTGATGGCGTCCTGAGGGGTTAGGCACTCTGATAGGTTTGGGTTTTGCAGCAGCAAAATAAAAAAAGCCAGAACTCCCTGCCCTCTTCAAGTTCACAGTCCAAGAGGAAGGTGGACACATCAATAGGCATTCTAATACACCCTGAAAAGGTCTTGTGAGCAGAAGTAGTGGGTGTTATAGGAGCATGTAGGAGAGGCATCAATCCCCACCTGGTGGGGTCAGAGACACTTCCAGGAGGAAGTGATATTGAAATTAAACCCAAAATTTCAGGAGCTAAGCAGGCTGAGCTCATTAGTAACAAGACGTACCAACCTAGACAGATACATCTTCTGTCCCTTGGTAGAATGTACTTGCTTCTTTAGCCTGATGATCTATGTTCCTTGAGGATACTGACCAAGGACTGAGGTCATTGGATGGGAACTTGACACCGTGGAATCTTGTCAGTCGTTGAGTTCCTTCTGTCATATCCTGTAATGATAAAATATTCAGTGATTGACTCCGCAGTTACCCATCTTTGTACTTTAACTTCGCGATGACTCTGATGGTAACCTCTTTCCTTTTAAGACTAGCATGTGAAACTCTCGGAAAGTTGGAGTAAGGCTAAAGCTTCTACCCATTGCTGACTTAAAAATTAAAACCTTTATTGACGCATCTAAAGTATAAATAATTTTGGACATAATTGTATACTTGCTTCTCTTGTGAGCTTTAAAAGACTTAGTTAAATGATTTACTGGAGTAGTAAAAACCCAAGGATTCAGGAAATCTAAACATTCAAGTTTATGAGGCCCTGAACTGTTTGGATATTCAACCCTATCAAAACTTATTTATTGAGGGGTCAGGGTTGAAGAAGGTGGGGGTGGGGAACTTGGGAGATTCCTGACTTACAGTAATGTTTTCTTCACCTTATAGCATATAGAAATAGAAATTTTAAATATACTTTAGAAGTATTCAATTCAAAAAAACCTTTTCTATCTCTAGAATGAAAATGGAAAAGAGAAAAAGGAAGACACTCTGACTCTCGGTTGAAACTAGGTTGGGTTGCTTTGGGAGCTTGTCTTATTCATATAAATTGCTTTCTCAAGGAGAACGGAGGATTGGCAATGAAAGCGTACAAGGACTTGAGAGATTCCGAGTTAGAATTTTAAAGAGTTAGCCAGCTATTTTATTTCTAAGAAAAGCAGTTCTTCTGAGTCCTCCTGGGTGATTGTTTTTCCATCGTTTATCCTAATGTGGCATGTGTTCATGTTGAAAAGATGTATATTTCATTGGCCTTATTTGCTCTTTCTTTCTTGGTATTCTGTCTGCTGTAGGAATTTGAAGTGATTGCCCAAATAAAGCTCTTACAATCTGCCTGCAACAGCTATTGTATGACCCCAGACCAAAAGTTCATCCAGTGGTTCCAGAGGCAGCAGCTTTTAACAGAGGAGGAGAGGTAGGTGGATACACTGCCCATCAAGGTGGAGCTCTGGTGTTGGCAAGAGGAATACTGCAGCCAGGTCCTCGTTTGGCCATTTAGTCAACAGTTTCGTAAGCAGCTACTAGTTCCTCAGTTTTCAAAGGATCATGATACAGCAGGAAAAGCTGATGTGATAGTATCAGGATGTGCTTTCAGATTCTTGCTCTACCATTTGTTGATCTTTGTAATCATGGTCAAGTCACTGATTCTTCCTGATCTTCAGGATGCTCACCCGTGAAGTGTTTATTGGTGAGGACTAAATGAAATCATATTTGGGAAAGCCCTGTGAAAAATGCTTGTCTCCTTATCATCATCGTCACCACTACATCCACCATATTGTCACCATGTTTGTCACTATTAACTGGCACTAGCTTTCAGAGAATTTTCAGTCGGAGAGGGGAGATAGACTCATTGAAATAGGATCAGTAACTGAAGTGCGGCAGGACCTCCAGGCGAGACCAATTCATTTGGCCAAGGAAATAGGGGGGATTATCATAAATTGTTAACATTTGGGCGGGGCTGTGAAGGAGACAGAAGATTACAACAGGAGAACTGGAGAAGAACATTCCAGACAGACAGAAGAACGTGAGCAAAGGCCTGGTGGCCTGACATGTTTGGCATTTGGGGGAACAGTGAGAACTCTGGTGTGGATGGTACACCAGGGACAGGTGGCTGTGGAGTGGTTGACAAGTATGGAAAGGTACATCCATCCACTCCAGTGTCTTGAATGTTGGCGCAGCAGGGTTGGAGCCTTTATCGTGTAGTCCAGAGGACTAGCCTGCAGGCCATCACTGAATGCTTTTACAGTTTTAAATGGTTGTGTGGGGGGGAACCCCAAGAATGTGACATGGGACAGTTATTTGAAATTCAAATTTTAGTATCTACAAATAAAGTTTTATTTGAACACAGTCCCATTCATGTACACCTTATTTATGGTTGCTTTCACACTTTAAAGGCAGAGTTAAGTAGTTGCATCCATATGGCCTGCAGAGCCTAAAATACTTACTCTCTGGTCCTTTACAGAAAATATTTGCTGACCCCTGCTGTAGACCAGGGGATTTCCTTGAATGTTTTCATCAGGGGAAGCAAAACCGACAGCAAAATAAGTATTTTGCCAATGAGGAAATCAGGTTTAGAAAAGTGTTATGACTAGTCAGTGATAGCGTTTGGATTCAAACTCAGATCTCCTGATTCCACAGCCAAAGCTCCGAAGGTAATTGTATAATGTCAGGCAAATCACGTAACCTCTATAAGCCTGTTTTCTCATTAGAAAGGTAGGAATTCCTGAGTTCTTTTTTAATCCCAGAGTAGATTGGCCCTGTTATGTTAAAATAAAACCTTTGATTCAGAGTACTTATCAGTTAGTGAAGATTTTTTCTTTTTTTGCTGTGTAGAAAATAAAGCAGTATTGCCTCTCTTCATAGTTCCTAGTCTGATGACCAGTTTGTATGAATTAACCTTCTTTCTATGTGCACATCATTGTCACATATGGAATACACAGTCCAAGCTGGTTGGTGGTTTGGATCAGAAAGTCCAGGCTCAAATATCAGCAGTGCAATTGACTTGTTCACGATAAAAGGAATCTTGGTAAACATATCCCATTTCTTCGTGCTATTTATAAAAATTTCTACAGCTTATGTTAATATTTGAATAATTCCCATGTCAATGGATACGTCTATCCGGACACTCTTTAGGTTTAAAGAAAGTACACATAGTGAGCAGCTTACCAAGCTCATACTCGCCACACTTACTCTTCCTCACCTACCCAGAACCAAAACAAGTTTTCATAAAAGACATTTCAAGTCAGATATAAATTCCTCCCATGCTTATGCAGGTTATATCTGCCTGGCACGTAGCTGTCGGAATCTGGAGTGTTTTTAATTTAGGATGTTTTGGCAATTATAAACCATATTTATATATCTTTATCAGTAATGTCTATTGTCTATTCGCTGAAGAGTAGATAGTTTACAAAAGTCTCTTTTTTCATTTTCCTTAGAGAAGTTAAGCACACGTATGTGCACGTGTGTGTGTGTGTGTGTGTGTGCACATGCACGCGCGCACGTGCGCGCGCACACACACACACACAGTAATAGGGAGATAGTGGAGAAGAGATGGTTCTTCCGCTGGCTTAGCTGTGGGATGAGAATGGTCAGGAAACAGAATGAAGTCAGCCTTCGATGCTGCCACAGCACACGAATCCATGTTTTTGAGGTACATGGAACTAACCAGCCTCAGTCCGTATGCCAGCGGGGGAACGAGAGGAGGAGACACCTATGTAAATTTGTGAAGTTGGGTCATTAAGTCAGTACCCTCTGACGTTTGTGATAGAACAACATAGCATTTATCTTTACTTTGCATAATCAGAGCCTTCTTCTAAGCCAAAACCAGTAAACCATGAGAATGCCCAAGTCCTTCCATTCTCAAGCCCTGACCTCGCCCGCTCCCTTCTCTTTCCAGCTACGCCCTCTCCTGTGAGATTGAAGCTGCCCCCGATGCCAGCGCCACCTCGCCCAAGCCTCGGAAGAGCATGGTGAAGAGGCTCAGCCTGTGAGTGTCGTCTGGGGGTTCTGGGGCCCCGAGAGGGTCCCATCAGAGTCGGGGAGAGGAAGGGTATCCAAGACAGCCCCCTGGAGCCAGGGCAAAAAGGAAGAACAGTTCACTCACTTGTCAAATTTAGCTCTCTGTGGTGAACTCACTGTAGACGTTTTCTAAATCCATTCATTCCTCTCCACTGTTCTCTCTGGCGTGAGTCACCATCGTCTCCTGCCTGGACCACTCCAGCAACACCCTTACTGGCTTCTGGCCTGACCTTTGCCCCAACAGTCCATTCTCCATCAAATGGCCTGGTCGTCTCTTAAACGTACACCAGATTATATCATTTCCTAGCTTAAAAGCCTCCCGTGGTTTTATTCTAAGATAGCACCTGGACTCCTTATCCCAGCTTTCTAGGCCCTGCATGATCTTCCCCCAGCCTTCTTAACCCCTTCCTCTCATCCAACACTTCCCTTGCTCACCAAAATCTGCCCATCTTCTAGCCATCCTTCACCCATAGCAGGCTTGTCCCGGCTTTGGGGCCTTTGCAGTAGATGCTCCTTTAGCCTGGTATGCTCTCTCTGTGTGGCCAGCTCCTTCAGATAACTGGCAAACATGTGGCCTCCTGAGAGAGTTGCTGTCTCCTGATCACTCTATTATACTGGCTGTTTCTTCCAGTGGAATGTAAGCCGGACCCGAAAGCAGGACCCTTAGCCATCATGCTCGTGGCTATCCGAGCAGCTGAGTGCCACGCATACGAGAGGCCCACAGCTCAGTTCATACCTGCTTTCCTTTGAGTAAAATGCAGAGTGGCCCTCAGGGCTCTCCAGGATCTCCAGCATCACCCCAGCCCCACCCACCTGCCCCATACCTGCCTGTCCTCATCTTTCCCAGCTCACTCTACTCCTCACGCTCCAGCCACTCAGATCTCCTTGCAAACGCTGGGCATGCACACTTTTGTTTGCTGTTTCCTCTACTTAGAGCGCCGTTCCCCCAGACATCCCTCACTCCCTTCAGATCTCTGAGCCTTCCCTGATACCTTGTTCAATGCCATCACCTATCCCCCTGACCTGCCCTTGGCACCCTGTCTCACCTCTGCCTGCCTTGCGTTTCTCCACTGCATTCATCTCCATCTGATATACCGACCGCGTGTTGTATGTGTCTGTTTATTGTCTAGAATGTAGACTCTACGAAGACAGGCATTTATGTCTGGTTTTTTTTTTTAAAGATTTTTTTTAATTGAGGAATTGAATTGGGGGGATGAGAACAGTGCTGGGGAATTGGGGGAAGGGGAACAGACAAGTTGCTGTCGTTTTGTTCTTCAGTCTAGTTGTGGAGGACGTAGCTTCACTGGCCCAAGTTGGCACCATCATTGTGCTCTTCCTGGGCGAGGCAGATCAGTCACCGGCTTCTGGATGGCCGCTCACTGTGGCTGCTGGCCGCTCACGCTGGCTGCTGGCTACACGCGGTAGCCCATGGCAACCCACTGCCAAAGGGGCTGCAGCCTACACCGTGGCTGACGACTCACAGCAGCCCAGCTCCAGGTTGAGCTGTTATTCAGCATCTTAGCTGTGGAGGGCAGTGTCACTGGCCCTCATATGTGGGATCCGAACCGGGGCCCTCTGGTGTCCCAAGCCAGTTCTTAACCATCGTGCCACTCGGCCGGCCCTATGTCTGTTTTTTGCTTATTGTTGTATCTCCAGAACCTAGCATGCTGCCTGACACTTAGTAGGTAGTTAATAAATATTTATTGAACGAATAAGTTGAGCCTTGTGCCAACACTCTCTTAAGAACAATAATACAGGGATTCCTCATCCAATCCACAAAACAACCTAAGTGGTAGGTCCTACTATTAGACCCATTTTATAAACCAGGAAACTGAGGCACAGACAGGGTAAACAGTATGCTAGTTATTGGAGGACCTGGATTCAAACTCAAGATTTGGCTTTAGAGCCAAGACTATAACCTTTTCCCCATATTGCCTCTTGGAAAAATACTTTCGGAAGGAAGAGAGGAAGGAAAGATGGAATGGGAGGTAAAAAGTGGAGGAGGAGAGAAGATGAGGGAGGGAAAGAAAAAAAGAAGGGAGAAAGGATGAGAAGGAAGGGAAGAAAGAAAGACTGTTGGTGTAATTAGACCTCATGCTTTGATTGTAGCAACTTTTATACAAGAGCCTTAGGAGAACCTAGTGTCTGTCTGCAAGTTGATCTCTTAGACATGTAACTCTGAAAGACATTAGGCGAATGAATCTAATGAAACCTAAAGAGGTTAGCTCAAGGAAACAAGGGCTATCATTTGATGAATAAGTTTGCTCTTCTCTCTTGAAAACATATACCTGTGTGTGATCTTTTGGGTGACACACCTGTGTTGACCAGGGACAAGCAAGAACAGTGATTAGGGAACACTGGACAGTTTTTTCATGGCAGAGTGGGCTTGGGCGCCATGCTGACCTGACACATCCTGACTCTACCGGTTTCCTGTGTGAATTTCTTTTTTGTCACTTGTGAGATGAGGATAATAATGTCCACCTCGGTGGGCTGTCAAGGCTCGTCACACTCCTAAAATAGTGCCTAGTCCTTAATTGGTGCCTGAAAAGCTACCATTATTTTTTTTATGAAACAACTTTGTTATTACCTTTTTTTTTTGTCAGGATTCTGACTATTTCTGTGGGTTTTTGATACTTCCCAACACTGTCTCTCCACCTACTTCAACGAGTCACATTGAGACATGGAGCAGGGATGCCACATGAACTTGGATATTGTCATTGTCCCCAGTGTAACATATAAATGCTATTATTGGGTGTGGATGGCATGATCTGCTACCAGAAGCTGGTCAGGCTTCTACATGATATTAGGTGATATGAGGCATTAGTTCTAGAATATTCTCAGCCATCGTCTCTTCAGATTGGTCCTTCTTCAATTCTCTCAATTGGCTTCTCCTGGTACTCTCTTATACACATAGAGGCATTTCTTACTCCATTCTTCATGTCTTTTAACCTTTCTTATTTTCTATGTGTTTATATTTTGATGCTGATTTCTGAGAATTTTCTTTAGATCTATCATCTAGTTCATATTTTTTCTTCAATAGTTATTTAATCCTTACACTGAGTTTTTAATTCAAATAAGTAATTTTTCACTCTAGAAGTGAATTTTTTTTCCAAATTATCATTTTGTTCTTTTGTCAGAGTGTCTTGCTCTTAACTCACATTTGTAATTTCTTTTCTTATACCTTTAATATTTTTAAACATAATTATTTTATAATTTGGCCCATGTAGACACTCAAATATTTGTCAAATGAATGAGTCAATTATTAGTTTCTATATCTGAAGTTCTTAGGAGTCTAAACCTACTGTTTGTTATGCTTTGGGCAGGATATTTTTGTGTGTGCGTTTTTTGTTTTTAAAGTTTATTGGGGTGAAAATGGATAGTAAAGTTACATAGGTTTCAAGTGTACAGTTCTGTAACACATCATCTATATATCACATTGTTCACCACCCAGAGGCAGTTCTCCTTCCATCACCATATATATTTGACCCACTTTACCCTCATCTACCATCCCCCTCCCTTACCCTCTGGTAACCACTAAACTATTGTCTGTGTCTATGAGTTTTTGTTTCATTATTTGTCTTGTTCCTTTCAGTTTTATATCCCACATATCAGTGAAATCATATGTGTGTATTTTGCAATTTTGTACTTTGAGCTCATCTTTATCAGGGAATTCTCTGTAGCCTGGGTTGACAGTATATTCCTCCAGGAAGACTTTTTTAAAAGAAAAAAAATCCTAGTTTTCCCAGGAGAATCACTGGCCTGAAATTCCTAGTTCCTAGATCACTTGGGTAGCAAATCTGAGTGAGGTGCTGGCCAGGATCACACATAATTTCAGGGGGAAGACATTTATCTTTCACCCAAGCTCGGGCCAAGACGGTTTAGGTTTCCCTGTTGTCATCTTGTGCCAGTAGGAAGCTATTTTTTCCCCTAGCCCATCTTTTTACTAAGGGTACAGCCTTTGGAGGGACCTGGCTCTCTATAAGGGGGTCTCAGTTCCAATGCTCCACCTTAAATAAACAGCAGCCCTCATCTTTGGGCTGCGTATGTGTTAAGACCCACATCCCTAGTTTGCCAAGCTTGGCACCTCCCACTCCCCATCCAGGGCAGCTGCAGAATTAGCTCACACGCTTCTGGTTTTCAGTTCCCTGTTTGTTTCTCGCCTGTGGGGATTTTCCTTACTGTCCTGCACACCCTACTTAAAAAAAAAATTAATGTTTCTGATCTAGTTTTAGAGTGAAGGGGTCTGGGTTATTGTAGTTGTTCAGATGGTTGGAAACAGAAGTTTTCCTCCTTGGTTTCTTCTCCAACAAAGTGCCAGCCTCCTTCTTCAGCTGCACGGAGTTCATTTTATGGGGGGAAGTGAGAGGGGTGTGGTGATGCCAAAGTGGTCCATACACTATTAAAAAGTGGAGAACCCTTGACCTAGAAAGACTTCAGATTAATGGAGCCCTTCATTCAGCTGAGCAAACTGTGTGTTCTTGGAGGTTTGAACTAACCTATGTGGACAAGATGTTTACTACGATCTGTTAGAAGCTTTATAGCAGATGTTTTCCTAAAATAATAATGACAGGACATGCAAGATTGAGAAAACATCAAGGACTTAATTAACACAAATATATATATATATATATATATATATATATATATATATATATATGCTTGATCATGGGTTGCAGATTGGTAAGAGTCTGAATGCCTGGTGTTATGTTTTCTGCAGACTGTTTCTGGGGTCGGACATTATCGCCAGTAGCACTCCCGCCAAGGAGCAGCCCAAGTCCACGGCCAGTGGGAGCTCTGGCGAAAGCATGGACTCCGTCAGCGTGTCATCGTGCGAGTCAAACCACTCAGAGGCTGAGGAGGGCTCTATCACTCCCATGGACACACCTGATGAGCCTCAAAAAAAGGTATATACACGTAATCCCTTTGTACAGTTCCTAATTCAGGCACATGACACAGTTTTGCCACATGAGGGATGTCTGTGTTCAAGTTTATCACTCTCCAGTATTTTGAAAGTCATGTTTTTAAGAGGTGTCAAAAGCAGAGTTCTATCCTGGGACTCGTTCCTTATAGAAACAGGTCTAAAAGTAACGAGCATGTTGGTGTTTTCATCTAGCCTTTGAGATAGCGTTCCGTACCCACATCCAAAGGCAACGGAAGGATTGCCACCTGTCACATGAGCTACACTTTATTTAGGAGATAGGATCTTCTTAGAAGCAGCAAAAAGTCAAGACACAGAGATGTGTTTAGCTTCTCGATGTCATACCTTGTCTTAGCCAAGCTTTTACTATAATAATTTTACCTAGCAAACCACTCCAAAACTCAGTGACTTAAAACTTAACAACCATTTATTGTCTGTGATGCACTACATGTGGGTTGATTTGGGTTGTGCTTGGCCCCAGGCCGTGGGTGTGGTTCAGCTGTGCTGTACTCGCCTTCCATTCTTTTTTGGAGTGTGGGCCTTGCAGGGCGTGTTCTTAGCATGCTAAGACGAATGAACAAGAGGGCAATTGCAACCCCGTAAGCACGTATCAAGTTTTCACGTGGGTCATATCTACCAACATTTTATTGGCCAAAGCAAATCCCACATAAATAAATGAGGCAGGGACCTCTATTCCATTTCTATTGGGAGGAACTGTGGAATCACAGGGCAAAGGCCATGGATGCGGAGGAGGCTGAGGAAGTGGTAACAATGATACAATCTACCAGGTCCCTGCCCAGCTTGCCAAAGGAAAGTGATGAGAGCTGATGAAAGAATTCCCATAGTTTCCATTTTCTATGGCTGCATAAACAAATGCAAGGAAAACAAAAGATCCATCTTAATCTTCTGTACACATCTGCTTCAATCTTGGGTCAAGGCGTTTGAATCAGAGCTGTCAACTTTGAGGTGACTAGAATTTGCACCATTTGGGGAAGTTTGGGGGCAGCCAAACTCGCCATGTACGTGACTCCTGGCCCCTTAGTGTATGCTTAGGCCAGTGAGGTAGCGTGTTGGTAATAATTCCTTCATTTTGTTTGTACATATTTTTCAAGAGGATCTGTGTGCTGTTTCACGTTGTGTTATAAGCAACAACAGCAATCTCGGAACCCTCAAGTCACAGAGCAGCCAGTGCAGGAAGACACCACACTCAGGACTCAGCAGACTGATGGCTCAGGTGCTGCCCCAGCTGTATTCCTCACCTTGCTACTTCTAAAACATCCAGGGAACATTCTGCAAATATTAAGGAACATATCTATAAACACATATGGTCGTTCTCTCAGGCATTTTTCCTAAACCAGTGGTGTGATCTCCACGACCTGACATTTCAGCATTGCATTTGTCAAAACCTGGAGTGAAGTCTCATTTTTCACCTTCTGACAGGTTCTGATGCTCTGTAGGCCCCTTTTCTGATAATGGACATTGCACAGAAGTGACAACCGAGGCAGTGCCCACCTCTTTGTGGGATTTCTTCCTGTCCAGGAAGGGGATGGAATTACATTCGCACCTGTTATGACTACTCAAGCCCAGTGTGTGTCGTTGGCACACTCCATGCTTCATCCTTTTTGTCTCCTCCCTTATCACACTGGTGCTTTAATTTCTTGCACGAGTCATGAATGTTTATTCTTTGGAGGAACTTTCTCAGAGTTATGAATTTCTAGTTTTAAAAATGAGTTAACTGAATTGGATGCAAGTAGTTTGCTGGTGCACAGAATCCCCGACTGCTCCCTGGAAGGCCTCGGTTCTCCTGTTCAGGGCACAGCCCACCTGGATGACCTCCACAGCCCCTCCTGACTCAGAGATCTGCAGCCGCCAGACTGCCACCCTGCCCTCCCCACCAGCTACACTGTGAGGTCATTCTTTGTAGTGAAACGTAACTTCATTCCTTTTTCTTCATTCCCCTGATCATGATTTCTAAGCATTTGTTTTCATACTTACTCCTCACAGTAAATTCTCAATAAGAATTTGGGGGCTCCTCAGGTGGTCGGCTTAGAGCTGCTATACCCCAGGCATCTTGAAGGCTTTATTGATTTATAAATGTCATTGAAATCATGGGAAATCCAGCAAAGGAAAAAGGATTTATGTGGAGGAAAAGGCAGGTGAAAAAATGGAAATAATTGGAAAATGGACCTCTTGTCTGCTCTGTGGTACACCTGCAAACAAAGTGAGGCTGTTAAAATTACCCACCATCAGTTAGCCCTCAAATTGAGCCACTAGTTGGTTCATTGGGGGACATAAGAAAAAAAAATGTAACCAAGCCATATTATGATAGAGCCACAGTTAGATGCCTACATATCAGAATTGAAACATCAGCTTGCTGGCTGTAATGAAACTAATTGTGCAGTAGACTTTAACGTGTGGTTATGCCATTGGAAGAAGTCCAAAAGCAATGCAGTAAGGCAGGCTCCATTTTACGTGTAAGCCAGATCCTCAGAAAGCTTAATTTCTGTACTGTTTCCATCGAAAGGTAGACTGGTATGAAAGAAATGAACATTATTTATTTTTAAATGACTTCCAGATTATTTTATAGGATTGAGTGGTATAATTGGCCTACCTCATTCTGAGAAGTCATTTGTAATTTTCTACAATACACATTGATGGTTAAAATGCTTCCGTTTAGCAGCTTCTGGGAGCACCGCCTAGTGAGTTTGGGGAGTCCTATGTCTGTCGTAACTGCTATTGAACATATGATAGCTACGTAATTAAGCAGAAAAGCACATTAACTCTAGCACCGCATTCTTTAATTATCCTCGACCTACAACATGAAAACGTGTACAGTTGGTTCTAGAAGCAGATAAAGTGCTGGAGCCACCCGCAGTCTGTGCAAGTCCCTTTGTTTCTTTGAATCTTATGTCTCTCATCGTTACAATGCTCCGCATTTTGGTGACAGGGTATATGAAAGCTCTCACAAACCTCCCAGTGATAACATCGCCGAGGGATTAAACGCTGTGTTTGGTCACCACAGTTATTATCAGCTGCAGGCTGGGCCTTGGCTACGCCCTTGTTCTGTGAACCTGACCATGGGAGTCAGGAAACTTCGGAGCACGGCCTTGGGGTGCGGTGCTGTCCAGTTTCCTCCCTGGCCTCAGGTTCCTCCTTAGTAGAAAGGCAGTGGGGCCAGGTGCTGTCCAGGGGCCTTTTCAGGACATTTAATGTACCATGCGGAGCTGTACCATCTGTGGTCCTTATCTTAGAAACTTCTGAAAATATTGACATTTCTCTCCTGCTACAAAATCTGATTGCAAAGTGGAATCAGGATAGAAATGACCGCTGAGGGCATTCCAGCGTCATTCTCCTTCAGGGCAGCAGGCTTGGATCAACTGGTGGTCAGGTACCCGCCTGCCCTGTAAGCTTCCAACTCCCATCCGGAGCCCTTATTGCCTCCGGTTTCCGGTGTCTGCTGCCATCTGCTGGCTCAATTCCTTAAGAGCCGCTAAAAACTAGAAATGACAACCACCTTGCCTCACAGGGATGTAGCGTGAACCGAGTCACTGACAGCCCTCTGCCATGGGGGTACTTCCACCAGAGATAACGCACGTGTGTGCTGTGGGCTGCTGTGGAGGGCAGGACCGAGGTTTCTCAGTGTCAGCGACTCTGCTCGGAAAGTTGGGAAGGACCGTGTCGGCCACGCTTCTAACAGCCGCGTTTCCTTCTGCCGTGTGCTTCCTCTTCCAGCTCTCCTAGTCCTCCTCCTCGTGCTCCTCTATCCACTCCATGGACACAAATTCCTCAGGGATGTCGTCCTTAATCAACCCTCTCTCCTCCCCTCCATCCTGCAACAACAACCCTAAAATCCACAAGCGCTCCGCCTCGGTGACGTCCATTACCTCGACAGTGCTGCCTCCCGTTTACAACCAACAGAACGAGGACACCTGCATCATCCGCATCAGCGTGGAGGACAACAACGGCAACATGTACAAGAGCATCATGGTAAGGCGCTCGGGCGGCCCCCCGGGTGCGCGCAGCGTCCGCGTACACATGCGTGTGCGCGCGAATGACGAAGCCCCCGCCTCCCCCGGGCTGTGGGCTGATCCTGTGCCCATATATCGAAAAATCTACATACCCGCAGGGCGTAGAGGATGTAATTTTTACTTCTTAGAATTTGCTAAAATGTACTCGTCCAGCTCAGTGTCACTGACCCTTTTCAAAACTATCACCTTGGGTGACTATCTGAATGTATTCCAGGGAAGACGCCACTGCCGCACACCTTGGAAGCCTTCCTGTAGAATTACACGTCTGGATTTGTCATTAAATTGCCATACGGCCTTAGCAGTGGCCGCCATGGTGGCCAGTTTTTCTTTCAATCATTTGGAATCATGAAACTCAGTAACATGGATGGTCAACCTGGGAATACGGTTTGACTCCATGGGGAATTATGTCTACAAGTAACGAGACTGAGCTTTTTGAGCCTCTTGTAGAAACTGTGTGTTTTTGAGCACAGTCCCCAAAACTGTTTTGAATAGTGGCAGTCTTTCTGGAATGCAGAGCCTGTCTTGGTAATCACCTTTTTGTGAAGGTCCCGTGTGTCTATTGTTAGAATAAACTCTAGTTTATAGGACATAATCATATATTAAGAAGCAGACTCTCCTTTGCAGTAACACCTCACAGGTAATTCTGCATCTCTCCTCATCTTCATCACTTGCCATCTTTGAGGGCACACCGAGTGCTGACAAGCTCAGCTCTGAATATAACAGTGATATGGAGGCACGATCTTCTAATGATCTAAGAAAAGCTTTCCTAAAGCATTCATTGAATCATGAAAATATTGCTTGAACTTGGTTGTGTACTAGTCATTGGACCAGGCTTTGGGGATAGGGAGATGAATGAGGCATTTCTTTCTGTGAAGAACTTAATAATCAAAAGGGAGAGCATAAAGCGTTATTCAAAATGTACTAAACACTCTGACAGAAGTCAGATCAGATTGTAAAGGGCCTACGGCCCCCAGGAAGGAGTTTGTGCTAGTCCTACAGGCAATGGGGTCTTTTAAACAGCGATCAGATTTGTTCATTAGAAAGGCATTGTGGAGACTTGATGCGGGAATGCAGGGGCTCGAATGGAGGTGGGGAAGCGAGTTAGGAAGCTGCTATCACAGAGCATGTGGGAGGTGATAAAGACTTGAATGATGGTCATGTGGCTGCAGACAGTATGGATTTTTGAAAGACTTTTTTATAAAGTGGAATCATAGAATCCATTCATTTAGTTAAAAACTTTTTGGTTACTGTTGTAGGGGATGAGGAAGAGGGAGGCCTAAAGTCTGTCCAGGTAGCTTGGCAGTTGGTGGTCCTGTCAAGTTAGATAAGAGCTACTAGAGGAGGAGGCTTGGGGGACACTTAAAAAGGAGGTACCAGTGGGATATGGTATTGTCTAGTAGATGGTCAGAAACAAGGGTTAGTGCAAGGCTGGTGCTGGGGTCGAATACTGGGAGTCCTCCAGCTCTCCTGGGTAGATACGGCCATGCAGGCGTGAGCATCGGCTGAGACAGAACTCAAGTGGCCGTGAGGGATGGGCCAATCAAGGTCAGAGGGGTGGGAGAAGCACCAGGAAGCCAGGTCACCATGCTATTACCGTATTTTCCAGGTGATTTAGTCACATGGCTCCTCTTACGTATGCCCACCAAAGAAGTTCCGCCTATATAACTCTACAGTGCCCTTGAACTTAATAAGAACTGGCTCATGCAATGGTGGGGATGGAACTCTAAAGCATCGTGTTGGGCCAAAGAAACCACACTCAAAAAATTATATCCTGTAGGAGTCTATTCTTTCAAAAACAGGCTAAACTAGCCTGTGGTGTTAGAAAACTAACCTTGGGGGAGGGGCATGGGGACTTGTTTGCACCCCCCATTTAGGGTGCATGAAGCGCCATTCAGTGGAGTAGCCACCAGCCACAGGTGGCCCGTGAGCATTTGAAATGGGACTGGTCCAAACTGAGATGTGTTGTGAGTGTGAAATATACACCAGATTTTGAAGGCTTAGTACCAAAAAAAGAATGTAAGAGATCTCATTAATAATTTTTGTATTATTATATGCCGAAATAATATTTTGAATGTATTAGATTAAATAATATACTTTACACTTAATTTACTTTCTTAAGAACTTTTTAAATGTGGCTACTAGGTATTTAAAATTACAACTGAGGCTCATGCGCCCACACACACATACTCACACACAGGACAGTGCTGGGTCAGTATATCAGCACGTGGCTCCATGATTGAGCTGCTAAAACTAATCGCGATCATGATCGTCAGTTCCCCTCAGTAGCTTTTATGGTGCCAAGTAATAAGCGCTGAAGGAAAGCCCTTGTCCATCACGTCCTCATTTGGACACACCTGGGGAAGTTTAAAGTAAAGAAAATAAGGGTAGCCTGGCTTTTTTCTTAAGTAGGTTTCAAGTTGACAGCTTAACCCAACATGAACCACCTTAGCACAACATCCGTCCCTCAAGCCAAGCGGTGTCCTTTCTCCTTTAGTTTATGCTCCTCGGCTGGTCCACTTTGATCCAGCTGTGGAAGTATGTCCTTTAGACTATCAAACAACATATTTTCCTTCTTGAAAAGATTGCGTGCATCTCTTTCTCCTTTGTAAACGGATATGCCAGATGTTTCGGGAACAGACAAAGGAGCAAGGTCGTTGTCGCTTACAAGGACCCCATTGTAATGCATGTTGTTTATTGAATCGCAAATACCAGCTGCTGCCCCTGACCGGAGGGAGACATCTGGGTCCCGCCATACTCAGACTTACAATGACAGCTCCCTGGAGGAAATTAGGCTTGTTTGGTTTTGTTTTGTGGTTGTTTCTCCTCTTACCGCCTAGTGAGAACAGCTTTTATTTTGAAGGAAGAATAATCTGTGTTTTTTCTTTTTTTTTTTTTTTTGCTTTCTTTAAATGTCAAGAAATAGCCTATGGGATGATACACAAGTCAGCCCTCTTTTCCTGAAAGGGAAAAAGATGGCTGGGGACAAAGTCAGAATTGGTGGGAAGGGGAACCTTTACTTGTACTTAAAAAAAAAAAGTCAGATTTATTATTTTTAACCACTTAGCTGATTGTTAAACACTAAGAAGCATAACTTACAAACAGTTTACATACACAGATCTTAAGTGTTCAGTTCTTTGGGTTTTGATAGCTATCTATACACATATATCTATATATCTATATATCTATATATCTATATCTGTACCTGTATTTATATATGTAATCACCACCCCAAGTCTAGATAAAGAACATTTTTAATCCTTCCAAAAATTCCCTTGTGCCCCCTTCCAATCAGTCTCCCCTGAACCTGGTTCAGGTTCAGGTTAAGGTGAGTTTTCTGACATCACAGGTTAGCTTAGCCTGCTTTTGAAAGAATAAACTCCTACGGGATGTCATCTTTAGTGTCTGGTTTCTTTGGCTCAACACGTAGGTTGTTGAGATTCACCCCTTGCATGAGTCAGTTCTTAGTTCCTTTTAGCTGCTGAGTAGTGTTCTATTGTGAATACACTACAATTTCTTTATCCATTCCCCTGTTCTCCTGTTGATGGAGATTCAGGTTGATTTTTTAGCTATGATGAATAAATCTGCTATGAACATTTGTGGACAAGCTCTGTTGTGGACATGTTTTCATTTCTCTGGGTAAATACCCAGGAGTAGGATTACTGGGTCATAGGGTCACTTGTGTTTTTTGAAATGGTCCATGTGCAGAACTGTGACCATTTCCAACCTACGGGTTGTAACCAGTGCCAGGTATGGATAATTTTGGCCCAAGACTGAAAATGTTATACATTTTTTGCAGTACCTCCCATATCTTCTTTCAATGGAACCTCAACAAGTGTGAGGGAGATAGGCAAGGCACACCTTCTCTCATTTTAATAGAGGAAGACGCTGTGACACCAGATGACAGGTGGTAGATGACCCACCGTCCTTTGGTTCCTCAGGGTGGAGCCAGGACTAGGACCCGGAGTTCCGGCTCTTGGTCGTGTTCTCACCCACTGGGCCATTGCTCCCAGAAAGCCTTGTACAAGAATAAGACGGGCAGGAGAACTCTTTCAGGAAACATGAAGCGAACTACTTTCCAAAACAGTTCATTATTTTTGCAGTTGACGAGTCAGGACAAAACCCCCGCCGTGATCCAGAGGGCGATGCTGAAGCACAACCTGGACTCGGACCCAGCCGAGGAGTACGAGCTGGTGCAGGTCATCTCGGAGGACAAAGGTGGGCACGTGTTCCTCCGCGCGCCTTCTCAGCAGGTTGCCCAGTTTTAGAAGTTAGAAAATGGATACAAGGCCATTTTTAAAATGAAACCAAGCAGGGTTTTTAATTGTGCAAAGATGGCGCTGTGTGGGGAACCATGCTGTCACCTCCTTTACAGAATTAAGAGTCTCAAGCTGCGCCCCTCCTCCCCACAACAAACCTTGTCATGTCTGCAGTTTTGTTGAGCACCCCTCCTGCCCATTCTTTGTAAACATCTCATCCTATGTGAGGTCTCTCCCTATATCAGGAGGCGGGGTAGTTGGGGAGAGCCTACTGGCGTCTTTGCAGGTGGCCACACAGCTCCTTTACCTAATAATGTGTGTCTAAGTTGTGTGTGGGCCTGAAATGTAGCAGTTCCTGTAATAATTTCTCATTGTTTCAGTTCATCCTTTCTGAGAAGCTTATAAGCTTGTCTTTCAGTTTATCTTTACGCGTAATTGATCCTCAAGGGCCTGAGCATCTAACACCAGACTTTGAAGAGTCTTGACCTCACACTTATTGAGGCAGAGAACTGGTAATCTATGAAATGTTTCAATATGCCTAGGAACCCATTATTTAAAGAAATTCCTTTTTATGAAAACCCTGGGCAAATAATTACCCTGGATATACCTATTTACTAATTTGAATTGGGGTTGTATTTGTTGAGAGAAGAAGACAAGCTGGTAGAGAACTCCTCTATACCCTGTCACATCATAGAAAATGACTCAATCAGAGTAAGTCTCATCTCCAAGTGCAGCAAATATTGTGGAGTGAGGCCAACCCTGTCTGCTGACCAGCCTAACGATGACCAATGCAAGTGTCTTCTTAATGCAGGGCTGTTCACCAACAAGCTGCCCCCATATCAAAGAAAAGAAGAATTATACAAGCTGGAGGTTGGGAAGGGAGCAGCTATTCATTCTCCATTTGACCAACAAATCACCCAGGCCTGTGTGGTGGGCCCAGAGGAGACTGGCCAAAATTAGAGTAGTACTTTTTCTGAAAAGCTATCGCCTCTGAGAAAATTAGTTTTCAACTACCTCTTGGAAGTTTCCCCATTCATTCAGCTGAGCCCTAGTTTGTGGAGCAAACCTTTCTCAGTTATATATTTTCATGTAAGTTACAGTTAAAATTCTAAGCCTAAAAAGTGGTCTCTTGAGTGTTACCATGTTGCCAACAAAACAACAAGGTGAAGCCAGTGGGTCTGAAGACCCAGGAATCCCAAGGTTCAGCCTGGGCCCAACGTGGTTTACCCCTGTGTGGTCTTGGGTGGGCTGCTTGACCGCCCCAGGCCTTGGTCCTTAGTTGGCTAAATGGAGACAGCACCCTACAGTTCCTCATACATCACGGGCCGATTGTGAAGATAACAGGAAATAATGTGCCCGGAAGTGCTTGGGGATAGATTAGGTGACATACGCATAGCTGTGAAGTAAATTATTACTGACCCAGGAATAGGTGGGCAGCAGATTGGAGACACTTAAAGGGAGTCATTCTTTGTGGAACATTTGTGCAAAATGTACCAGCGTCCAGCGTCACTTAGAACCTGATGGCATCAGTGTTACTGTAGAAATCTCCGTGTTTGAAGTTAATATAAGGTTGACTTAACCCAGTTCCAAAAGCAGATGCCTCGACTGGCTGCCTTCCGCATTCTACCACCTCGAAGCTAGACTTGCACATTTTACCTTTTTTTTTAGCTGAGCCATCCTGCCACCTCTTGGCAGCTCGGCAGCTGCTCAGCTCAGGCCAGGCATCGAACCGCTGTTGCTCAGAGCTACCTTTCTTTTATTCCCTGTTTATTTTTTAAATACCCAGTATCCCTGAGTGCTAATAAGTATATGCCTTCTTTTAAAAATAAAAAGTGGGTTAAAATAAGTTTACTTGATAATTTCATATACTACTTTGGAATAGCCCTTGTTCAGAAATTGCAGCTAGTTCTTTGGGAGTGATTGAAGTCGACAACAGTTTAAATGTTAACAGATATACACTCTCTTATATGGATGCTGTTTAATATTTAAATTCAAGCTCTTGATGCAGCAAGTCCTCAAAAGGAGTAAAATACTGGTTTGATTTTGGATTACTTCAAAAAATATTTTAATAGTCCAAGTAAAGAGTTCTGAAAAACGCTGTAGAACGCTGTAGATTTTCTCCTCCCTTCCCCATAGCGTTTGACTCTCTTAGTCCCTGAGAAAGACTGCACATTGGAGTAGAAAATGGACTACGGGAGGAAGGAGACCTGGGTTCTAGTCCCAGCTCTGCCGTTTACTGTCATCTCAGGAATGTAATTTAAATTCTCTGTGGCTCTCTGTTTCCCACTGCACGTCTTCCAGCTAAAACATCCTGCGTTTGAACATTTAGTTGGTTGTTGAGTTTTCTAAACTTGTATTTGCGCTTAGTTTTAAAAAAAATGGAGTTGAGAAGCTGTTGGAACCAATTGTTTGGGGTGGGTGGGGGGCGGAGGCGGTGGTCATTGTCCGACTCAACTCCCATTCCAGGGACAAAGGGCCGTAGTCCTGGCCTTGTGTCTGGGCAAAATCTCCCCCGCCACTGTCAGTGCTGCTGTGACTTACACATGCTGGCTACCTTCTCTTTCCTTATCATTTTAGAACTCGTGATCCCAGACTCGGCAAATGTCTTTTATGCCATGAACAGCCAAGTGAACTTTGACTTCATTTTACGCAAAAAGAACGCCATGGAAGAACAAGTGAAACTGCGTAGCCGGACCAGCCTGACCTTGCCCAGGACAGCTAAACGGGGCTGTTGGAGCAACAGACACAGCAAAATCACCCTCTGAAGGGAGGGACCCATGGCCCCTTGCTTGCCAAAGGCGCAGTGGGGCTGAGAACAGGCCGTGCTGATTGCAACTACCATCCAGTATTAGATGACCGTCGGTGAAGCCCACAGGTATTTACTGCGTACCTCTGGGGTGCGAGGTCCTGTGATGTGCATTGTGGGGAAATTGGAGAGGAATTTGGCACGACAAGGATGAACGGTTCACTGACTCCCTTTGACCTACTTGAGACTGAAATGCGAAATTATCCACATTTATAAATATATATATTACACATATTTGGTATGTATGTGTGTGTGTATATATATATATGTGTAAGTATATGAGGGACTTCTAAGATTTTCTGGACTATGGAAAAAACAAATTTGCACAATGGCCCGGGAAGTTGAGGTCACTTTCTACAGGGAAATAGAAGGAACTGAGAACCTAGTCTCACACCTTCCGTTGCAAATGGATTCAGTCCTAGGAATCCGGCGTGTCCTTTGTTCCAGTATTAGGAGAAGTCCAAACTATTCTTATACAGGGAGAGGATGACTTTCTCAATGAAACGCCACCGGAAGAAAATGACTGCAGAGGCTGGAACTGCCACGGGCTAAATGAAAGGCCACTTTGGAAAGGGTTTGGATGAGCCAGTGGCTTTGGACCTATGCCTTCACCCAGCACTTTCTGCTATCCCAGGAGGGCGGGGGTGGGGGGTGGGGCTTGGAGGCCCAGCCCACCCACTGGTCCAGCGATCATGACATTCTGGACATGACACAAGCCCATTTTGATTTCTGGCAATGGCACTGTGTATGTTTCCCCCACTAAAGAGCATATCACAATCAGGATGGCACCAATAGCCATGCTGTTCGGTAACTTTTCAGCCAGAAAAGGAATCGCAAAAGGATGGTGACTCACGGGGACTCCGTCTCAGGAGGCCCCACTTCATGGCCTTCTTCGATTGCCTTTGCATGTAAAACGCTGTCTGGAGCCTTGTGCCATCTGGATTGGAGTACCTCTATGTTATGTGCAATTTGTTCCTCAGGTGTAGAAATTTCTACTGCGATCGCCCCTTATGTGATCATTTTGAGCCTGTGAAAGATTTCTACGCAGTGATTTCTGTTCCTAGCCCCTCGGGAGGTGTTCCCTGCTGACAGCAACATCCGGTTGTACTCGTAACTTTTATAGCATCACTGTGCCTCGTCATGGGGGACCGAGTGGGGCTGCGTGTATGACCTAAATCATTCCTGAAGAGGGACATTCTTCCAGATGGAGTCACTAACAGTTTTTTTTTTTTCAGGTCCCCACACTTGCTATCACAGTGTCACTGTTAAGTGGCATTTTTGTCTTCAGTAACACCATCAGCCTCTCCCTTCCAAATCTGAGCTGTGCTGGGGTTTGAACTAAAAAGCCATATGGGGGATGTTGACATGTGTAAGAAGCACTTTCAGAATGTCATCCTTTTTAAGAAAAAAATTCTCAAAATACCAGTTTTTCTTCCAAAAATAAAGAGAATGAAGCCAAGATTTGAAGTGTAGATTGTAACAAGGAGCTTTTTTTTTTCATAATCCTGTAAGACAGCTCCCAAAGGTTATGTGCGATTTATGTTGTGTAAATAGTCATGTGACATCTGTAAGAAACACCAGAGACAGCTTAGAGATTTGTGTCCATGACCAAAGACTGAGCCAGGAAGGCCTCCCGTTTCTCATAGGCCTTTCTAGCTCAGTCCGTGCATCGTAAAGACTGACTGGGCTCCAGCTAGTCGAAAAGCACTTTCTTCTGTTTGCGAGGCTCGTCCCGTTTGTGCTTCTGTGCTTGGAGGAGACATGGCCGGGGTGCTAGCACATCACGGAGATGGAAGTCAGTGCGCCCTCAGCCTGAATTTCTTGGTTTGAAGGTCAAAAAGGAGCCTGGTTTAGAGTGTCGCTACCAAGATACACACGTGCCCGTGCGCTCGCCCTGTGTATTTATACTGTACATGTAGAGTCTAGATTTATATACTGCAATGTAAAAAAATATATTTTCCTTTTTTAAAGACAATGGAAATTCCAAGTAGATAAAACATAGCCTCATTTATTTAATGCCACTTTAAATGTCTTAAATGTGTTTCCTGGTGGACTGCCAGGCAGTGCTTTTAGCTGCTCGCATGCTTGTCTTTCTGCATCTCCATCATCTGTTGACCTTTTGGTTAAGCTAATAAACTGGTTTGGGACTTGGTTGGCATGTGCTGCCAGACCCAGAGGGATTGTATCTGGAGTATTAATCAGGTTGGTTCTGGGTTCCAGATGTGTCAGTAAGCTTTTAGGAAGCCCACTCTGGTACGGTTGGAGGGAGCAGAGGGCAAACCAGTGGCCGAGTTAGGAAGGGGTCCTAATTGGCCAGTGTCACAAATCTGGCAAAAGGGTTTTGGGGAAAGAATAACATCCTCAGGAAACTGCAATCCGAGGAGATGCCTTGCTGCTAGCTTACTCTTCTTGGGAACCATGCCGTGGGAGGCACTTTTTATAAAGCTGAACTTAGAGTTAGGGTTCAAGGTAGTACTTTGCCTACATTCTGACAGCCTTCCCCCACTTGGCACTTGCTACCACCTGCATAATCCTTGAAACTGTTCATGGTGCTTTGGAAGCCAGCAGGGCCTCCATGGAGGGAGGAAAGAAGGTCTTCCCCAAAGGCAGTGAGACGGAGACCCACTTCACTCAACAGATGCACATTATTGTCTTTTCATCATCTTGTTTCTCCAAAGTTCCCAGAATTATTTTCCAGTGGATCCCTAGATGGATCCAGATTATCAAGTTTTCTGGGTCCTCGTGGGATTTTGGAGACAGCTGAGTCGGTGTTATAATAATCGATAATGTGGGGTGGGGCTGGGGGAAAAAGGGATTTCTATTTCTGGCACTAGGTGACTATTTTTTTCAAGATCATTCTAGAAAACGGGTTCCCTTGTTTTGCCTCTGTCTGGAAACTGGGCTTGGTGACTTTTTGCCTACAGGAACAACATCTTAAAATTCCCTTCTTTGGAGCCTTTTCAAATGTGCCACGCAGCCTAGGACCACTAGGAGGCCTGCAGCTCTGCTCCACGCCCTGACTTCAGTAGTACTGGGAAGGTTTCCTGACGCCAGTCCTCTTTTTCTACAGCTGCTGCTGCGGGGACACTGGTTATAACCTGTATCAGCTATGAGAAGTGATTTCCACTGTGTTTTGCATTACTGTTTTCCCTAGAGTCCCTCTTGAAATGAAATGCCGCTGAAAGGAATGTGTTAGGCTAGGCTTATGTAATCAACCATGCAATCTCAGTCATTTAAGACAGTTTTCTTTTTTCATCATGTCATCGTGTGTAACGCAAATCAGGCAGCTCTCCTTGGTGACTTTCCTCTAGCAGTGTCTCCAGGCTGCAGGCAGCTCCCATCCCGGAACTCTGCCTTCTCAGGCTCTTCCTTCAAGTCCCAGCCGATGGCAGAGAGAACTCACAACTGTTCCCAGCTGCCTTAGACCAAAGTGACACTGTCCCTTCCGTTCACGGTCCTTTGGTCCATCCCTGATGCCGATCTCAGTGCAGGGGAGGTGTGGAAGCGCCCGGAGTGGACGGTGGGCATCACCGTCTCTGCCACAAAGGAGTTGTTATGTCTTCTGACCGGGATGTGTGGGCTTGTTTATTTTTCCACCGTCATCCAGAAAGCTGTCTGGAAGAGATGGCCGTAAGGACTTGAGATGGGGGCTGCAGAGAGTGAAGGAAGGGTTGAAGAGAGAGAGGTGCTCAAAGGAGGAGAAAATGCCAGAAAGAGGCATTAATTTATTTTATTTATTTTTTTTTAGATTTTATTGGGGAATTGGGGGAGGGGAACAGTGCTGGGGAATCAGGGGAAGGGGAACAAACAAGTTGCTGTTGTTCTGTTCTTCAGTCTAGTGTGGAGGATGTTGCTTCACTGGCCCAAGCGAGGCATTCAATTTTGTCTACACTCATTAGCCTTAGAGAATTTGTTTTTCATTTTCAGCATGCAGTCACCACTAATTTACGTGCTTCTGATGTGGTCCGTACTTGAATTAAATTAGGAGTTACTTTACAGAAGTACTTGTTCAAAATAAATCTAGGAAACTTAGAGTGTTTACATATAACCCATGAGATCTAATAGAAGCCAGACAAATTGAATTATTTTAGACTTAGAATTTGAAAACCACTATTTGGCATGGTTTCTCAACGTCTCTACCCAAAACGATTGTGTGGAAGCAATTGATTTACTTAACAATTTGAGGAGTCCCATGTGTTAACATTTCCTTACAAATTGGAAGGCATCTTACAAATCATGAAGTCACCCCCTCCTGTTACAGAGATGGGGACTGAGGCCCAGGGCAGTTAAGTCTGTTGCTCAAGTTTAGGGGCAGAGACCTGACTTATCAAACCCCACTTTGTGCGTGTCACACTGGGCAGGGCACTGAATCAGGCTTTCCACCAGAGCCTCACGGAGCTGGAGAGAATGCCTGGGGTCTCCCGGCTCCAGCCCCAGCCTTCCGACCATGTAAATCCACGCCATTTTGGTTAGATGGGCCTTTGGTTGGTTCTTTAGTCTCCAGGGAACATCCTGCTGCTGGTGAGAGCACGGCTACCTATTATCCTGAGCATTAATCCATCTCACAGATGAGGAAACAGGGCCATAAAAACCAGGATGAAATTGTGAGTTAGCTCCCTAGCTAGGATTTGAATCCATTTCTGATGCCTGAACTTGGTGGCCCACGAGGGTAGGGTGGGTGCAGGGGGAGGGCCTCCTGTGAAACGCACCAACTTAATGAGGAGTTAAAGGAGGAGCGATGTGACTGGGGCATGGGTGCCATGGAGAGAGCCAGGCCCTCCCGGCTCGGCCTCTCTGTAAAGCAGCTGTCAGGATCCAAGTACTTTATCACAGGTTCCTCCGAAGAAATCACTTTATTCCCATCATTGTTTAATCCCAAAGCAACATTTGGTGCTACGGTTCCAATTTCTTACGTAAGAGGTGCCAGTAAATCAAGTTAAAGGAAAAAGAAAGTGAATGATTTAAACTTTCTGGATTGCTCCAGGCATTAAAAGAAATATATCAAGGCAACAGTTTCGAAATGGGAGAAGCATTCTAAAACGAGACTGTTGGCTTTCCCCATACATCTAGTTCTGAGCCTCGTTTATACAATATCTGACATCCACGCCTCCAGCAAAAACGTCATCAGAGAATCAGTCTGATCAGCTGAATAGTCAATATCTGAGATTTCATAGGTGGAAAGTAAGCATAGGGGTTGGAGCTGCAAGCTCCTTTATATATCAGGG